GATACATTTTGTGGTAGTTCCTTCCCTGCTAGAAATCACAGCGTCTCTCCGTAGACGGAGTCAAGAAATACGCCAACTGTTGGATACCAGTAAATACGCTTACGTACCAGAATCTGTCGAAGGGTGAAAACATGACCAATATACTATCCTCCTGGCCCAAACCTGCCTGGTTTTCTTGGGTTTGTGTCTGCCGAGCACCACTTAGTCTATGCACGATTAATGAACCTAGTCTTCCTAATGGTATATTAGTCAAGCTCATTCCCATATGTTTACCACTGGAGGACTAGTTTCCCTTTTCATAAAGTGGGATAGTCGACAAATTACATCAATTCAGAGGGAATATATGTAATTCCAAGACAATGCGGAGCTCGTTAGAGTCAGTCTTCTTTCGGATGGTAATGGATTTGCCATAATAACCTCTAGTTTCGGCTTGTCGACAACCTTAACATCCGCTTCTTCGGCTGACTGGATATTACGCCGGGTTTCCTCAAATATCCGTTTATGTGCTTCTTCCTTGAATAGGCACCTAGTGTTCTCATTAGGTTGGAGACAGATTGTTTTCATTATTACGTTTGTCCACTGACTAGGGACTGAACGGAGTTGACGCGCGTATCTCAGAAGGTGCTGAAGTTTACTACAGACCCTCACCATCGAAACATTGCCGACATATGATCCATTTGAGTCCATCGTCGATTTGATGATGGAGATCACTAGGTTATTTGCTGACCAAGAACAGATTTTTATCTAAACAGAACTGTATTTTGATGTGTTTGTGTTCTCTGAGCTGGATAGTTAATTTTCGAAGCTTTCATTGCCCTACTAGGCAACATCTTCAGCGCATACTTCAATTCGAAGTGGGCTTTTAGATTTCTCCACGAGTTTATTAAATTTATCAAGCGTGATTGGTTGTTTTTGTGTTTTCACACCTTCTAGGCTACTTGTATTGGACGGAACTGATTGTTTCTTTGGCTTGAACTTTGACCCTTTGTGTGTGAGGTTTCTTTCTTATCGGTTGGTAAATTTTATCTATCTCGATGTGTCTATTGATTGATGATTCACTGGAATGCCAAGCTTCTAAAAATTCTCTAGCATTCTTGTTATTTCCTTTGTCTAATATTTGAAAATTGACTGTTCCAGTCTAATTGATGTCCGTGGTTGTCTGATTGTAGTGACATGAGGGAGTGGATATCATGTCTTTTGACGGCTAGCTTATGTTAGTGGATACGAAGGGGACGTCCACTTTGGCCAATGTAGTGTTTTTCGCAGTTGTTACAATTTATTTTTTAGATGATGTTGGTTTTATCTTCTTTCGTTGTTGAGTCTCTCGGTTGACAAAGAACTGAAGACTATTCAAACCTTTAGTAATTGACGTCGCACACAAACCAACAAAATCACTCCAGTCAGTTCTATGTCAACCGAGAGACTCAACAACGAAAGAAGATAAAACCAACATCATCTACAAAATAAATTGTAACAACTGCGAAAAACACTACATTGGCCAAAGTGGACGTCCCCTTCGTATCCACTAACATAAGCTAGCCGTCAAAAGACATGATATCCACTCCCTCATATCACTACAATCAGACAACCACGGACATCAATTAGACTGGAACAGTCAATTTTCAAATATTAGACAGAGGAAACAACAAGAATATTAGAGAATTTTTGAAAGCCTGGTATTCCAGTGAATCATCAATCAATAGACACATCGAGATAGATAAAATTTACCAACCGATAAGAAAGAAACCTCACACACAAAGGGTCAAAGTTCAAGCCAAAGAAACAATCAGTTCCGTCCAATACAAGTAGCCTAGAAGGTGTGAAAACACAAAAACAACCAATCACGCTTGATAAATTTAATAAACTCGTGGAGAAATCTAAAAGCTCACTTCAAATTGAAGTATGCGCTGAAGATGTTGCCTAGTAGGGCAATGAAAGCTTCGAAAATTAACTATCCAGCTCAGAGAACACAACCACATTAAAATCATCCGCCTGTGCTACAAATCTCCATCATATCTGAGCATAACTGTAGAAGACGATCAGTTATCGGCTCGTTCTTGCGGAACTGCAAAGGTACTATTAACTTACTTTTCAGACTGGCACAACTCTCCTACTTCAGCAGTGAAGCTGCCTTCTAGAACGACTATATCTGAGCTTTCTGATTTTAGCAGCTAACTAGATAGTTTTCCTTAGAACTTAGTCATTATTTCGGCTGAACTGCAGTATTTTCGGGCGTAGGCGGAGATTATGAAAAGGCATTCATGGCTATCGCAATATTTCCTTCTTCTCAAAGATGAGTTAGGCGGAACTGTACACATGCGATTATCCACTGAGATCCAGTCAACTGGGGATTTCTCTAAATTAGCATTCAATTTGGCAGATTCACCCTGTTGGCCAGGTGGGGTTAAGTGAATAACCGCATTCGGATCCTGTTTGCGTGTCTCCGAAGCACAGAGTACATCCATGGCTGGAGATGCAATAGTCCTGGCTAGTTATTCCCCTTGTTCTATTTCGTAAGGGACCGTGATGTTAAATGCTCTAATATGAAGTTGGCAGTGCGAGTGGGGCTGGTCGAACGACATGTTTGGGAAGGTTTTTGGGATTACATCCGTATTAAAGTTTTACCAGTGGCTACAGCCCACCTAGAGTTAAGTGGGGATGTGGAATACTCGGGGTCGAATTTTTCTACTCATGCTCTCCAAAGTAGAGAGGCTGCATAGATGGTGTGCTGGTCATCTGAGGGAAATGCCCCACTACAGTCACATCTCTATTGGTCAGAAGTACGACTTCGCCCACAGATCTCCAAAACAGCAAAAGTTTGATGAAAATCACTGTAACGAAAAAGTAATTACCAAACGGACGGTTTATAAATCGAATTAATGCCGAGTAGATCCAAACCATAACGATTGGTAAGATAACATAAATCTTCAAAAGTCTTTGAAATGATGCATTATTGGAATACAGATTATCCATCTGATTTTTACCATCAGTCTTCATGGATTCACTGAAACCCGACTGTGCAAATAAATGAACCGACTGATGAATTGCTCTGTACTACTGTGGCTGATCGGACAACAGAATCAATACACTCAGAATGGGAATGATCAGATGACCGCAATGATAATTTGCGAGTAAACGCTTCACTTGGAAGTCTTCATACTGTTTCTGTCGCCGTTGTATTAGTGACTAGACTTGTTCAAACTGAAAGCCATCAATAAAACACCCCGTTAAAAATTAATGTGACTAGATACAAGACTGAACTACGCTAAAACTTGGGTTGGTTCATAGCCGAATATATTATGACCGACGAGCTAAGGATATGCGGTGACTCATCACTGCCTCCGTAGAATTCCTTGCATTATGTAAGCGATTCTAAGATCCGACCGTGTGCCTTATTAATAATAATCACTTTATTCCAAACACTTGTAGAAATAGTTTTTTCAATAACCGCGTTCGTTAGCTTGAACATGTACTATGAATATTACCGCAGCAGCTTGCATACTGTTCACTATTTGATAGCTCAGTGACTGGGTACCAGAAACGGTGACCAGTCCAAGACGTGGCGCTTTGGAATGAAGGATAATTGTCTTAAGTTAGCATTGGTTGGTACATCACAACTGCCTCGATGGGGTCTGAAAATTTATCCGAATCAGTAGCTCAAGAAGTCGCCTAATATGATTGAGAATACATATCAGTGGCAAATATACTTGCTATTTGGAAACATTTATTTCTCAGTACGAATTTACGGCAAGTAACAAATGTTATTAAAGCAAGATTTAATGAATTTATCGAATTTCGGTAGAACTCCGCAGCTCAATTCTTTAAATACAGTGTAAGAAATGCATAAGGATTTATGTGAATCAATCGTGCAAAACGAAAGGTGAAAATGTTTTACAGGGCAAGTTCAGGTGGATAAGGGGTAAAAGGATATGCGATATGGAACTAGGGTCTATTATTCACATACCTCCTTATGCATTTATCGTAGAACACATAATACAGTGATGTACAGAATTCAGTTGCAGAGTTCTAACGATATCTGATAAATTCTGCTTTACTAACACCTGTTGCGATTGCCTCTCTTTCTAAACGTAACATGAAGTACTGAATGCTACTCTAAATGATCATAACAAGTATGCTAGGGTTTTTTTAATGATATTTTTGCTCAATTATTATTATTTTTTTATTTTGATTTACAGCTTGATTCCACACTGGATTTTTGGTACAAGTATGGAATTTTCAGCATGGATATCGGTAGCCCAAATTTCGCAGGCCAACCATAGATATCAGGTGTGCGTCGGTAGGAGATCGAACCTCGGACCATGTGCATGGTCGGCGAGAGTCCTAACCACTGTGCCACCGACGCAGTATTACCGCTCATATATGGTAAATTTCTAGATGTTTATTTTTCTAGTCCTTAGTTTATTTTCTCATTCTAAATCCCTGTTTGTATGAGGTGACTCCACTTTTTTTACTATATGTACTATGATCTTTGATCAAAGGTAGTGGTTGAATTTTCTTTCCTTTTTATAACATATTGCATAGCTTATAGGTGACTTTGCTGAAAGTAAAATTTTTATCGCTGCGACTCTTCTTTATTTCTTCCTGTAGCCAATGTGAATAAAGGATCAGCCCAATTAATGCCCGAAATGAAAATAAACAAAAATACTAAAGTGATGAATAAAACACTATATTATACACATAAACAGTCAATAGAACATCACAGTTAATGCGAAGAACGCATATCTGCACTTGTAAGCTAGACCATATGCATATGCGTTCAACAAATACAATTCAAATTACAGAAAGACCGACATAAGGAAGAGGTACTGCAATACAGAAATTTCGTAAGACTGGATTAAAATAAGTTGGATAAAAAACTTTTTTTAAACAGAAGCTTCAAAATATATTAACAAAAACGATTCCAACATAGCCATGGAATGAGGAATTGTGTATATTATGATGCATCACTTCAAATAAGTATCCTGGAGTATTAATCCTATCTAATCGTTGAGTGCATTGTCAACATCGCTTACCGAGGATTGCGACAAGCACTCATTGGCTAGTGGTGACCATGGTGGACGCAGAAACTCAGCCGCCAAAGGAGTACAATGTGTGCCAGGCGATTCAACATAATACTGGGAGACCTACAAATAAGTAAACATTTTTATAAATATAAGTAAAACAAAAGTGGTCTTGAGCACAATTTTCACTACTTATCACTGAATAAAATCGTATGTGATTATCTTCAGAGCCCACAAATGTTTCATTTCTTTTACAGAGGTATTTTATATTTGTTAAGAGTCAAAAAAGGCACCCAGTTATCTAAAGGTTTATATATTTTTCAGAGACATTATAAAGCGCCCATGGAAAATGGAATTATCTATTCTAAAATAACTTTATATACTCTTTGTTTTTGTTCACTAAGAAAACCAACTTTAGTTCAGTTATAATTCTGTTATTCATTCAGTGGTGTTAGGTACATATAGTTTGAAGTTTAATGCACAATCGCCGAATGAACACTTATTACACGAAACCCTCCTGTACTAACCTATTTATTCCCATTTAATGTATAGTGATTATAATTAAACAGATACTTAGGTTAAGGTTTTGTTTCTTGTTTTTTCTTTATACATTTACGTTCCCTGTGGAACAGAGGGCTTCAAGCTAGAGGTTTGAAGTTTCGGTAGCAGTGGTGATTGTTTTTACAGGATGGGGTTGACAGCCTCATGCCCAACCTTCCCTCTTCACCAATCTTACTACTGGTTTAGTGGGGTCTAGGAGTACGTCGGACGGGGATCAAACCCCGAACCACCTGAGTGGTTGGCGAACATTCTACCGCTGTGTCACCAATGCACCTTAGGTTAAGGTAACAAAGGAGAATTAACTTACATCATAGTAAAATCTTTCTACATACAAGATTAACACGGCTAATTTATTGTTGATATAAATTAGTTGCTTAGGAATACTGAGATACTAATAACACCGTTATTCAAATAATCAGTTTAACTTCTCCATTTTAGAAATCAGGAAAACCGAATGTACTTATTATGTAACTAGTTCTATACTTTTGATTGGATAATATTCAGCAACTAACGTAATGTGTCTAGTAGTATCCAATACAGTCCTACAGGAATCAATCACGAGCCCGAATAGCTCAGTGGTAACGTCTCTGACTGTAGCACTGGATGAGGCGGGTTCGAATCCCAGAACGGACATGAGTTCCTTCAATGTTGCAGATATGCCCTGCTGACGAGTGCCAACTAGCGCGAAACCTAGGTCCAAGGCTTCTTGTCGATTGCTTCCAACCACCTAATATCAATTTATTCCATAGATGTTCTTGAAGCCACTCAGTGTACAACAGGATTATCATACTGGTACTGCTTAGCCAGGAATGAGAATTCCATTACAGAAGAGTAAAAAGCAACATTAGTACAGCTTTCCACCGTTTTCATGATACCGATCACTGTCTACTTATTCGAAGTAAAATCCAATAAAAGTTTTTATAGCCCCCAATCTAAATCACATATCAATGAATGCCACACAATGGATACACAATCGTAAGGATGTTTAAACGCATCGAATTGAAGTATGAATTACAATTATTGGATGATAATTAATTGTACTACTGAGTCACCCAGGCTAAATACATTAACTGAAGTTAGACAGTTGAATGAATCACTTATATTGATGGAATGGAAACTAATTTTCTAACCAAAAGCATTAGGTTCAAACAACAAATCAACTTTTTGATGTACTTGTGTTTTCTCAGCTGAATAGTTGTTTATTTGCGAAGATTTCATCGTTCTACTATACAACATCTTTAGCGCATACTTCAAATTGAAGTACAACACATAACTACATCAAAATTATCCACCTGGGTTACACATCATCTTCTCTACTATGACTAATTCAACTTCTCGGACCTGGAGAAAAGAAGCAATAAGATAAAGCCTGACAAATCAAGAGTGACTCACCGCCTAGTAAATAACAAAACATTTGTGTGGTAATCGAAATAAAATGGCTGCTTTGAAAATTAGATGTCATAAACAAAACGAAGCTGCATGTACTGGAACGTAACAAATCGGCTCTTAATCTAATTATATATATATATATATATATATATATATATATATATATATATAAGGAAATCATACATTTATTCTGTTAATTTTAGGACTACATTGACGAAGTCATTTCTCCTAAAACATAAAGAAATAATGTGTGAATTATAAAGATGAAAGGAGTTTTAATTTTTATGGCATGAAATTAGATCTAATACTTAGAAAACCGGAAATGCATTTATGCCTCATAGTGTAAAAAGAAGAATAGCATAGTCAGTCTAGTCAGACTTTGCTGAGTAATCCCCTTCAACAGTTAACTAATATACAATAAATGTAATTGTGAGATCTCTACTTCAGACTTCAAATATAATAAACACCCATGAAATTAGAAGAAACTTTATATGGTGTATAATCACAAGTTTAATTCTTACAATATATAACAGCATATTCCTCTTCACATCAGATTCACTAATCTGTTTACCAAGTTTAGATGGGAATAAACCATGTGTAGGATCAGATGCCGGAGGAGTTGATCGTGAATCTGATCTACTTTGTTTATCAAGTGCTTCGTCCTTTAAATACTTCATAACTAGTTTATCATACTCTCCAGGGATGCAGTTAAGTTCATTGAGTAAATTACCTAGTTATCAAAAGCAGAAAACGATATTGTACAAATGAATAATACATGTAGCAAAAGATAAAATATGGTACATATTGTATGAGTTTCATCGACTTATTTACCACTCGTAGTCTCATGGTATACAATCCGATATGGAGTAAAGTCACACTTAGTCTCTTATATTATTGTGGTTCTAGATTTCTTTCCAGCATGCATTTATAGCTAGTCAGTTTACTATTATCACCTTTAGAAATTTTGTTTATTTATTCAACTTTTTTTCCTTCACGTTCCCAGTGGAACATAGGACTCCAAGCTGGAGGATTGAAGTTTCTGTACCAGTGGTGTTTAATTTTACAGGATGGGATTGCTAACCTCATACGCAACCTTTCCTCTTTACTAGCTTTATTACTGGCTTAGTGTTGGCCGGGGATCGAACCCCGGACGACGTGCATGGTAGGCGAGCGCTCTAACCGCTGTGTCACCGACGCACCACCTTCTTTAGGTGTATCCAAAACACATTCACATGTCTCATGTCTATCTTGTATATTTCCAAACCCATTTACAGATTACAAATAAACATTATTCGTTTAATTCAGTTTAGATTTTCCCGTCGACTGATTGCACCGAAGTGCTCGGTCACTCGGTTCCAGTCTCGATGGGAATAAAATCACTCACTGGGTAATTCAGGTACATCTAGGTAAAAGTCCCATATAAGAGAAAATGCGCATCTTGGATTCCACTGCTAGTCACCATCCACCAATTGACTTCAAACATTGTTCGTCACTGAAAGCTGTTTGATACAACTTTCAACTCTAAAAGCATTCGCATTGCATAATACTTATCAACATTAATAGCAAGAAAGTGAACACTCTCCAGCTTAACAATTTAATTTTCCTCCTTTAAAAAGGATGAAAACAGATCCCTCTCTCTCTCTGAGGTTATCAGTGAATTATATTATGATGACAGACTAAATTTTGACTTATACGCAAGCATTTAAAAATAGATTAACGGAATAATAATAATAACTTCTAAACCAGCAATTATCTAAAAATGAAATTATATCCCTTGAAGGTTGGATAAGCACATGCGACCAAAATTATCATATTTATATACTTAAGAGATAATGATAAATGTGTAAAACTTGGGAACTGTGATAGTAAGTAATCCCATATTAGTTTGTTTATTAGATGTATCACACAGTGAAACAGTATTGTATACTGGATGACGTTTTGAACAAAATCTATTGTTCATAATCATACCATCAATTATAATCACACGACTTTGAAATTTGAGTTTTATAGTTTTCTTTGTTTTCTCCTATTTGTCGTCGTAGGGGTAGTAGAATTTTACAGATATCTGGGTGGAGAGGTGTTGAGTCATTCCTATTACATGTATTTGCAGTTGATTCGGTAAACAAAGCTTCTGTTATCAATCTCTCCCTGCCTACACCCTGTGACATTAGATTTTAAAACTGTCATCCTATCCCCTCCCAGTGTATGGTTGTGTGTAACTTCATGTAGTGAGTGGTATAGCTGAACTATTCTCTAGATTTCTTGTCTGAGACAGAAAGTGAGGCATATGAAAGAAGCTTTGAAACGTAATAATTACCCTGATAAATTAGTCAGAAAGTATGTAGGGAAATGTAAAAACAAAATAAATAATAATAATAGTGATAGTGATAATAATGATAATATTAATGACAACATGGATGTCAAACACGCACAGGATAATGAGAACACCAACAATAAGGAATCTAAATCATCAACAGTAATTCCATACAAGGAAGGAACCTCAAAAACATTATGGTGGAGAATTCCTAACAATTCTGGCAGCAATAAAAGTCTTTGGCATTCATACCCACAAACTCAATTAGAAATAAGCTTTGTCGGTTAAAGGATCCTGTGGAGCCTTTAATGATTGTCAGGTCAAATACATAGATCAAACTAGTAGAACAGGGGCAGTCAGACTAGCCGAACATAAAAACCTAACTAGATCTAGATTGGTTGACCCAAATAAGATAAGAAATCTGGAGAATAGTTCAGCTATACCACTCACTACATGAAGTTACACACAACCATACACTGGGAGGGGATAGGATGACAGTTTTAAAATCTAATGTCACAGGGTGTAGGCAGGGAGAGATTGATAACAGAAGCTTTGTTTACCGAATCAACTGCAAATACATGTAATAGGAATGACTCAACACCTCTCCACCCAGATATCTGTAAAATTCTACTACCCCTACGACGACAAATAGGAGAAAACAAAGAAAACTATAAAACTCAAATTTCAAAGTCGTGTGATTATAATTGATGGTATGATTATGAACAATAGATTTTGTTCAAAACGTCATCCAGTATACAATACTGTTTCACTGTGTGATACATCTAATAAACAAACTAATATAAAAGATAAGGTCTTTTGAAATTTCTAAATCTTTGAGTAGAATATAAATGTAATTGTGTTCAGGAACTACTTACGTTGTTCTTGCGCACTTAATGACAAATATAACCCAAGGATAGATTCATTTTCTGGAGTCATTAAATATGGAAATCTGAAACGATTAAAAATATTTAAAAAAAAATAAAAAGTAAAGTAACACAAATTTTTTCCGATTTTAATGATAATTAAAAATTAATGTAACTAATCCTACTTAAACCAAAACAGATTTCAAGATATACAGATCGTGTAAGCTTCAAACACTCGATTTATGGGATAGTTACCGTGATAAACGGATATCAGCTAAAGAATTATGAGAGAGTAAGACATAAGTCAAAACTGTAAAGTAACGTGACGAACACATTTCACTATTTAGTTTGTGCACATTCCTGATAGATAGATAGACAGATAGAAGTGGTTATTTAGTGGTCGTTAGTTTTCAATGCTTCTTTAGCTAATTTCACAAACAAAAGAGTAGAAATGAAATCTTTCATTTAAGCACCTGACAGCTATTTTGTGATACTAATTTTGTATTAATCCGATTATTGCAAAATAAACAGTCAGACTAAAATAAGGGAAGAATCTGAGCAGTTTAAAATCATAAAATCAACGCTAAGCACATTCGATCAGCATGATGCAACGCCCATCCCAGATATAATTTTTTTTAAATATTTTTTTGATCACAGCTTGATTCCACACAGTACTTTTTGGTAGAAGTCTGGAATTTTCAGAATGTGATATCGGTAGCCCAAATTTTGCAGGCCGACAATAGATATCAGGTGTGCGTCATCAGGGGATCGAACCCCGGACCATGTGCATGATCGACGAGAGTCCTAACCACTGTGCCACCGACGCACATATGGGAAATTACAATGAAATAAAAATAGGAGGAAGTGACGCTGTAAAAAGCAAGATAGGAAGTCCTGTGAATACACTGATATGATTATGAGCAATATATTGTGACTGAAACCTCACCTATTCATTAATACTATTTCACTGTGTGTTATATCAATTATTATTATTATTGTATCCTTTAGTTCCTAGAGGAACATAGGGCTTCAGCTGCGCACCTCCATTGCCTTCTGTTTTCTGACAGCTTTTTCACCCCGCTCCAGGTCTGTCCACATGCTTTCATCTCCTCCAAGTCACCCCACCCTGTCACTGACGACCAACTCGCCGCTTCCCTTTCGGGTTCCACTCGAGCTATGGCTTGTCTAGTGATGTCACTTGATGGTTTCCTCAGAGTTTGGCCAATCCATCTCCATTTCTTCCTGCCTATTTGTTGCACAATCGGTTCCTGGTTGGTTCGCTCCCAGAGATCCCTGTTGCTGATCTTTTCTAGCCAGCCATTTGATCTTGAGTATTGAGCGAAGACAACTGTTAATGAAGGTCTGAAGTTTGTTTGAGATGCTCTTTATGACATGCCAAGTCTCTGATCCGTATAGTAGCACTGACTTTACATTGGAGTTGAAAATCCAGATCTTATTTTTGATGGTGAGTGCTGTTGACCTCCAAACAGATTTGAGAGTAATGAAAGCTTGTCTTGCTTTTCCGATTCTGGCTTTGATATCCTCGTCAGTGTTATATCAATAAACTTATCTAATATGGAAATATATTCTAGCAGTGCTCTAATTCTGCTACTAAATTAAAACAGGGGAACTTATTTTATCTACATGAACAAGTGAGTTTAGAAGTTACCATTGATCACTAGTAACTATCCGAAATGAAGTCAGATTAATAGATAATGTTCGATTAGTGAGTTACACATTCATGTGTAACCTGATAAGCAGGGCAGGAGTGATAAGTATGCTACTGAGACACACCAAAAAAAAAGAACAAGCAAAAACAGGCCGCATGTGACCGGCCTCAAGCAGTTGTCCCCTGGGCTCTGAGGTCACGCAACCAACTTCCACGGTGTGGGCAGCCGGGAAGTAACAAACGCCCTCACAATCCGACAGACAGACAGAACCTGATAAGCAATTTAACTACACTTATCTTTATTTCGCTGAGAGAGGTGGGATGATAGAATGATACGTATTCTGATATATCTGTTTTTGTTTTCTTTTCACATGAATCCTAGTACACTTAAATTTAATTAAAATGTTTAAAATTTTCTAATTATTTGGAACTGACGAGATAATTCCAATATGACTTTTAACGTACCGGTGTTTCATTAATCCCATGAGTAAAAAATTGCCTCGATTGGTTGCTCTTGAAGGATTTTCTCTTTATAGAAGTTGCATAGAATTGAAATAATAACGGAATAATATCGAATTAATTTATGGAAAAATAAAAATTAATTGAATGTCAAAAATGTATGAAGATATGACCGTTAGAGTCGAAATAAAAAACCTTGGATGTTTATAAAGAAAGTATACAAAGAATAGAACATAATTCGTCGGTAAATTCCTTCTATTATGAATTAATTTAAGTAGGAGTAATGTGATACAGTTTTTTTGTTTGATTTTTTTATTTACAGCTTGATTCCACACTGGATTTTTGGTACAAGTATGGAACTTTCAGCATGGACATCGGTAGCCGAAATTTCGCAGGCCGACAATAGATATCCGGGGTGCGTCGACAGGGGATCGAACCTCGGACCATGTGCATGGTCGGCGAGAGTCCTAACCACTGTGCCACCAACGCACAAGCATAGGAATATGTTAATATATTCGGTCAAATTTTAAAACCAGCATATTTACAAAATACAACCACAACCAGTGGAAGTTATCAACTGTAGACTTAGACAAGTCCAACTCATAGGGCAGCCAAATCGTTCAGATCATACAAATCTAACTAAGGGACAATGACTAACCAACGATTAATCAGTATATGTTAACATTTCTCACAATTGCGCAATTAATTAACAATCCAACCGCAATTTCAATAATGTTTCCACTGTAGACTACCCAGTCAACCTATAAAGTGGATCTTGACTGAAATATTCACTACAACAGATAATACAATCCGCTCAGCCGACTACTGTTGAAAGTGAAGACTTGGAAACTGGATTACAGAAAAAGGTGAACGAAAACACTTCAATTTCAATCTTCTTATATTTATAATACTGCCATATTTTGTCCATTACTAAATTTTAGAAATAATCACTATTCAAGCAAAACAGAAGAACTGATGACGATGAGTAGCTGCCAGAATACATAAAACTCAGTCTTTAAACAATTAACAGTAAATGAATGAGACTGAGAAATGATACTGACTCGGTGCGGGCTGACTGTTACTTAACAATTAGAATGACAGTTCTGCATAGCTGCCAGATTCGTTTGTACATACCGATATTTAGAAAGCATCATTTTTATGAATAGTTTTTATCAAATATGAAGTTTTACATGCTTAATAATGAAAGATGGGTGTACTACACTTAACTATAGTAATTTGATCTGATTATATTACACTTCCTCAAATTCCTGTAACCGATCCAAAATATTTTAAATGAGCATGAGAAATGAAAGTGTGAAAGCATCCAGTTCTTTTATGCGATACATGCCTTGCGAAAGAAAACCCAGTATTTGTTTATATACACACTAATCGGTAGATAGTATGAATCAAAAAAAAGTTTTCTGCTAAGTTAAGTATAGGCTGAAATAGCTTTTAAAGCTATTTGATCTGCTGACTGTCGATCGCTTTTAAAATTGGAAAGGATTATGTGCTGGATACTAATAGTGCTATTGATATAAGAATAAAACTTGTGCACTGTGGTAGAGTATAATTCTACTATGGGTAAATTTTGTTTTGATAAAGTCTCACAGTGTTATACAGTAATGTTTACTGATGACATTTCGAGCTCAATTTATTGCCGCTCATAATCACATCAAGGTAATCACACGACTTCCTAACTTTATTTATATAGTTCCATTATTTTTCACTTAATTTTCACTTGATTTGATTGGTAGTAGTATTTTCCATATTTCGGGTATGAGTGATGAGTCATTCCTATTGCATGTGTTGGGTGTAGACCCGATGAACAAGGATTCTAAAGAGAGAGAGGTTGATTACTGATTCCTTGTTCATAACACCGTCAGTGCACCTTTAATGGAAATGAAGCCTTTCGACTGCCGTTAACAAGAAAGCGTTTTCTATGTTAATCATACCAGAAATCCCTTACAATCTTCTACAGCTTTCCATTAGGCTGCCTTAGAGCAATAATATCTTCAGTCAATACGCTTGGGAGCCGTTGAAGCATTACTGATCCTGAAATTTAAACCAACTCAATGTCTAAAATAGTACGTTAAATCTTTTTCTTCGCCATGGACATGTAGGTTATTATTTAAGCATCATACAACTGATTGCATTTAGAAGACTCTAGAAAGGTGGCGAGTACAGCCATCTGTAGCTTAAAAGAACGTCCCACTAAAAACCAATAAGTGACTGCGAGTTCCCGATAATACACACGAAAATCACATGAGTACTAGTATGTAACCTGCCGCATCTAAAATAGTGGCCTTGTAAGATGCTTCAGAAATTCCGCCAATATAAAGTCTAAATATCTATTACAAATACCAGTGTGCAGTTTACCTTCTTCTATTTAATTCATCTCATCCGTTAACTGTTAAGGCAGGCTTAGTTAAGTGTTAAACAAACCGAGCAGTAGCACTAAAAGCACAAGAAAAGACCTAAATGATGAAATAAAACAGACAGAAGAGGCTTTGGTGTTGAATAACTATCCTTTAAAATTCATTAGGAAGATCAGAAAAGGCCAAAGGAAAAATAAAAACAATTGGGAAGCTAGTAATAATAACATAAATAAGAGAGAATATAAGTCATCTACAGTTATACCTTATAAAGAGGGGACATCTGAAACCCTACGTAGGATTCTAAATAAAGCAGGAATTAGGGTGGCATTTAAACCTACAAACTCACTCAGCTCGGACAAGCTCTGTAGGTTAAAGGACCCTGTCGGTTGACCCAATTAAACAAAATAATATAATTTACAAAATACCATGCAATGACTGTGAGTGAGGTCAACCTAGTAGGTCAGGGATAGTCAAATTGTCAGAACATAAGAATTTAGCTAAGGGAAGAATGGTTGACCCTGAAAAGATAAGGAATTTAGATAAAAGCTCAGCAATTGAAATGCATGCATTAACACACAACCACACAATAGCATGGTGGAAGAGGGTGAAATTCTAAAAAGTAATCTAGGTAGGTGGAGTGAGAGATTGATTACTGAATCCTTGTTCATCGAGTCTACACCCAACACATGCAATAGGAGTGATTCATCAGTCATACCTGAAATATAGAAAATACTACTATCAATCAAATCAAGTGAAAATTAAGTGAAAAATAATGGAACTATATAAATGAAGTTAGGAAGTCGTGTGATTACCTTGATGTGATTATGAGCGGCAATAAATTGAGCTCGAAATGTCATCAGTAAACATTACTGTATAACACTGTGAGACTTTATAAAAACAAATTTTACCCATAATGGAACTAATAGTGCTAAGTGGGTGCACGGAAACACAGATCGTCATAAATGTGCTTATCACTTCAATATGCCAGGATATGCAAACAAGATATAAACGAAAAATAATAATCACATTTAAACTGTTAAAACAATTAGTACCTTTGTTACTCTACTTAATCATATTCATCCAAATATTCGAGTGACTTCCGAATTCGAATCGAATAACAAACTCAGTATCTTGGATATTTCAATGACTAGGAAAGACGATGGAACGATTAACCGATCTATATTTCGTAAGCAGACATGGAGTGGACAATATCTTTATTTTACCAGTTTTGTTCCTATCCAGTATAAACGTTACCTAGTGAAATATTTCTTTTCAAGGGTCCGCAAAATATGCTTCGTCACATACATTGTTTTATTAGCTAACGGTTATCCAGAAAACTTTATAAATTTTCACAGTAAGGATAGAACATATCTTGAAAAGACAGCTTCTGTACCAAAGAAAGCTATCTTTATTAACCTACCATTCAAGGATGACGAGATTATGCAGTAGACAGCTCAAAGACTTCGGTCAGTCATCGAGCGCACATTCTACGCCGTGTCTCTTTCCCTCACATCTCGAACATCTTGGATCCCTGTACCAACGAAATTCTGTGGACTCTACTTCAGACTGTGTTTACAAGTTCATCTGTAGTTGCTTAGACACCTATATGGGTAGAACCAATAGAATGTTCCAATGTCGTCGAAAAGAACATGTTCCAGAATGGTTATTAAAACGCAGAAAATCCCAATGCAATTAATCTGAGTAGAAATCCATCATCATCCATTGCAAAGCACTTATTAATATCAGGTCACAAAATCAATATTAATAACTGCGTCACAATTATTTCATTATTAAAGGTGATGGATGTAATTTGGATTAATCACATAAATCCAAAACTGTGTGTACAAAAAAAATAGACTTCAACCTTCGCCTACCATGGCCTATTTAAATATGATTGGTCATTAGTATGTACTTTTGTTTTGTATAACTAAGTAATTCTCATGCATTTTATTTTATTATTGTGAACCATGTTAGTTGTAAAGCGATTGTAAAGAAACTACGAAATGATATCGTCTCGCGAAACTTGTCTTCTAAGTGCCTTATTCATACTACAAATCGTTCAATGACACAATTATGAACGCTACCACAGATAACGAGTGCAGCTGGAGGGGAGGGGGGCTAATTCTAGTCGTCTACAGGACTTACACTAACCGCGAAAAGCTTTATATACACTGCACTCGATTTTTGACTTAGTCGCCTACATTTCTATTTCAACTGTACGATAACATTTTACATCAATATAAGCCATATTTATGTAGAGTTTGAACATCTGCACAGACACTTCAAAAACTCTGAAGGTACACAATTCCTTCATCTTTCCTAATTGGTGTTGGATATCTAACCCAATTACTTCTCACTTCATGATTCCGATACACACAAGTGACGCTTTTGAAATACAAACCGTCAAAAATTACAACTTCCTACTGTTGAATTTAGAAGTCTGTTTTACAAAAGTACAGAAAAGCAGACAGACGGTTACTAACATTTCTGATTTTAGTTGGAATTGAAATATAATATACAATTATTTGAAGGTCAGTAAGAAATATTTTATACAAGCTTAGAAACGTGACAACAACACATTCATACACCTTTTGACATTTTAATAGGTTGAGTATTGACGGACTACACCAGCTTTCGTACACATTCAAAACTTACAACTGACTAGGGACATTTTTCGATTCAACTTCATGAACTAACACTTTCTAATGATCACAATCTGATTCCCATATGTTTACTTACAAATTATTCAAAGAAGGCATTATTACTTACCCTGTACTAATAATTTCATCATCACTGCGTCGAATAATAAGTATTGGACCATCGTAACTTGTAAACGTTTCATTGAAAAAGGGTAGAATAAAGTTATCGCATTAGAAATTAAATATACATCTACAGTTGAGTCACAAAAAATATAACTTTCAATACAAACTGTCGAAAACTACGATAATATTCGTGAGAAATAGTGTATTACTAAATAGTTATGCATTTCTTCAAGGTATGGAAAATTACCATTTCATGTCATTGGCATGTTGGCAACTTCAGTGTGTGTAATTACCGATTCACCTGCTTCTGTAGAACTAAATACACAGGCTGTACCAGTAGGACAACGTCTAGATATGCCCATGAATACTTACCAGCATGGTTGTCAGCAGGAGAACGTAGAACAATCAACAGCTAAATTCTGGAAGATACTATTGCTTCTGGCCAAGTAGTATCAGCAGATTTCTTTCAAAGTCATATATGGAAAGTACGACCGAGTCGTTCGAAAGGATTTCGCCTACATCTTCTTCATGCAGCTAAAGCCTTAGCAGTCCTCAAGGGGAAACCTGAAGTTTGTATTGAGAAACGTCTTATCCAGTCTCTGTTACTATCATGTCCAAAGTACTATTTTTTTCTTTTTTGGCTTTTCTCTTTGTCATCCTGATTAACTATATAATAAACTCCATGCAATCTGTTTCGTATTTTCGCAACTCATTTCAGATCTACTGTTTTCTTGTCCACGACCAACTATATCCAGACGATTATTCATCCCCCAAGTAATTAGTTGTCAACCCCCTTGATTACGTAAGACTATTGATTTTTAGGATACATAGTTGTTATTCAGGCACTTTGATTTGCTTTGTTAATATTATATTATTATTATTGGTTCCCTCGGGTTCCGAATGGAACATACGGCTACAACAACACACCTCCACTTTCTTTTATTTTTTGCCATCCTCTTCCTCTTGGTCCACGATTGCCCAAACTCTCTCATTTCTTCCTCACACAATCCCCTCCATGTTACCCTCACACCGATGACCCACTCGTCGCTTCTCATCCGGATTCCACTCGAGCTACGACCTGCATTGTGCGTGATGACATTCAAGGGTTTTCTCAATGTATGCATGATCCATCTCCATTTTCGCCTACATATTTGTTGAGCGATCGGCTCTTCATTGGCTTCTTCACAGCCAAAGTTTCTTGTTACTAATTCTTTCTGGCCATTTGATCTTCAGTATGGAGTCAGCGAAGGGGGGCAGCTGTGGATTCTTTTCGTGACACGCGGTGCAAGTTTCTAACCCGTATAGGACAATCGACTTAACATTGGTGTTGAAAATGCGAATCTTGTTCCTTATGCTAGGTGGAGATTTCCGAACTGGTTTCAGGTTGATGAAGGCGTGTGAGTATCCTGCCTTTCCGATTCTGACTGGCTTTGACATATTCATCTGTTCCGACCGCCTGCAATTGAAACGATGGCTCCTAGATAAATGAAGGATGTAACCTCTGCGAAATCTCTCCCGTTGTTGGTGATTGGGTGCTGGTTGTTGTTGCTGTTCGTTGGTTATCTTCATCACTCCCGTCTTCTCTATGTTCACCTGGAGTCCTGTATCCACTGTAAGCCTCTTCTGAAGTTTGTTGGTTGTCGTCTGCAATTCTCCGAGTTTGTGTGACGTTAAACATAAACTATCGACGCGCGAAATCCAGATCTTCTAGAGTCTTCTTATCGGTTTATTTATTTATTATTATTTATTTAAACGCATAGAAACTTGGTACAATATGGCACCAAGAAGGATGCGCCACACACTAATAATAAAACAACATACATCAAAAGAAAAAAGAAAGAATATATATATATATATATATATATATATATATATATATAAGCAGAGAACGGATAAAGAACTTCATCTGGAAGGAAAACAGTCATGCTTAACAAGTTCAAACAGTATTCGTTAACTATCATCGGGAAGGGAAGAAAGAAGGAAACTGCAACACGTGTAATAGCACGCGATAAGTTTCATTGATTGTTTGTTGCTTTATTCAATTCATTGTGTGAGGGCTGAGATACTGCCCGGGAGCCCAGACCGAAGCAGGTGGTTTTATTAAGGGACCACCCCCAAGCCTTTGACTTGGAGTCTAATCCGCAAGGCAGCGGAGTAGCGTCAGGAGCTGTATTCCCATGGTTCCCGGTGACCCATATGGGTTCATACGCCATTTGATCCGATTGGATATTGGAGCCCATGTACCCCATGGTAACTGCTTTTAGTCTAACCGCTATCCAAACAACCTTCCTGACATGGTAGGACCTGCAGGGACACGTCCCAGTAAGTTTAGCATGTTGGGTCATTACGGTATTCAAGCCCGACCACCACGACAAGGTAACAGTTATCGGCCGGGCTTCTTATCGGTGGTTCAGCGTATTCCTGTCTTCTCACTCTACAAGCGCAATCTGGCGCATAACCCAGTCTACCACAATTTAGAATATCATCTGTGACAACAGGAAGCCAGCTCGTCTTACTCCTGTATGCACTTCGAACGGCTGGCAGAGTTCTCCGATGTGGATCACCTGACACGTGGCATTGCCGTTTAGTCAGCTGTTGAACGAGTTTGATAAAGTCTAGGGCACTGCAAGCCGTAGTGTTGAAGTAGTTCCCAAATTACTTCTCGGTCAACGCTGTCTGCGAATTCGATAAAGTTGAGGTACAGGTCTGATTGCCATTCTATGCTTTGTTCTGTGATGACGCGTAGAGCTGCAATTTGATCAGCACATGATTTGCCTTTCCTGAATCCAGCTTATCCTGGGCTCGCAGCTTTCTGCATCCAGTGCACCTTTTATTTTCTACTGGATGATGAGACTTAGTATTTTACTTGGCGTGGAGAAAAGCATGATTCCACGCCAGTTCTTGCACAGACAGGCCTATGTCGCCCTTCTTTGGTAGCTTGACGAGGTAACCTTTCTTCCAATCGGCAGGTACCTTTCCTTCTTTCCAAGCCTTTTACAACAATGGTGTGAGCACATCTGCGGCAGTCTCTGGGTCCGTTTTCAGTGCTTCGGGGGAATTTCATTTGTTCCTGCTGCCTTTCCAGACTTAAGTAGCTCGATCACATTTAGGATTTTCGCTTTCGTTGCTTTGTGACTAACTGACAATAACCTTTGACCTCTATTTTCAATCTAAATTGCATATATTGACCCCTTAAATAACTAACTGTAAAGCTTTGAACTGATGCGTTTAATAAAAACATAAATTATGCGCAAAGATTCTATTAGACTTTAGTGACTAACTGAAGTTTACGTTTCTCATAATTAGGGGTTTAACACTTGGATTTCACAAAAAGGATGAGAAGTACGCAAATAAGCGGAATTAAATCCTCAGTAAACGGTATTCGTTAAAACAAAAATGAAAAATAACATTTGATAAAATGACAAATTTAAGTAACACACTTTTCTTAGCGTATCAAATTTGCAATATTTCATACATACAGTCTCTTTAAATTAATTTAAAGACATGAAACATAATGAGCAAAAGTAACAAAATAACTGGTTTTGACAAAAACTTAAATGCTTGAAACAGTTGGAAAATGTGTAATCGTTTTTCACAACATTGTAACAAAAAGCCTGTTATCTTCAACTTTTTAAAGCACTTTAGGGTAGTTATAAGGACAGACTGCAAGTGAAGAAGAAAATAAGGCTTTTCCTTATCTGAACATCAATCCGAGACACAATAAGTGATAGATATTAGTTAGAAGCTAGTTAAGTGGTCCAGAATACATTTCCCATGTATAAGCCTATAAACCACGTTATGAAGCACTGTGAGGACCTATATGGAAGTAGGCGGTAAAGGAATTCGAAACTGGGATCCACTGGCTGCTAGTAAAATGTCATATTGTGGTACAGCTACTCTACTCAACGCAAGTCAGTCTCAAATCACTTGATTCTGAAACAGTATAAAGAGAGGGAGAGAGAAAAAAACCCAAAGATATTTGCAAAACTTTAAACAATCGCATACTTCTTCCGATATGTTACTAAATTTTTACTAAGATTTTCTTAAATCATGAGATTTAGGCACACTGAATAAAAAAAAAGTTAACTGCATGTAAACCGAAAGACATTAATAAAACCAACTGAGAAATGTATTATCAGACCTTTATAACTCACTTGGTTACATGTGATAAGTTATTCAGATCCAAATAATCTTTAACCACAGCTTCTAAAACTGGTTCTAGAGAGAGAGACAGACAGAGAGAGGGAGAGAGAGGAATAAGTAAGGAACAAGAAAACTTGTATTTTGGTTATTAATTACTTCGTATTCACCTCAATCTGAGTGTTAGCGGGATACTAGTAAACACAGACTAGATTTCTAAAATAAAGACAGTACTACCATTTGCATACATAAAAAGAAATAGTCAGTTCACTGAATTGAAAGATGTTTCTAGTACAATGCCTCAAAAACAATTTCCAGCAATTAGTTATAGCCAAAACGAAGATTCCAGAATTTCTTCACGTATCGAGTGACATTAGTACAATATGGAAAATAAAAAGCTAAGTGAAATTTACGGATACGGAGTTATTTATGGAACTTGGGACAAACATAGTACTTCGTTCTCATGACGAATAAGAAAATATTACAAACTATACGTTAACAAAATGAACTGTAAACTGTCGACGAATCACATGATCATATGATGAGTACGACATTCAGAAGACAATCTAACACCTCTAGGTCCAAATTTATAAATACAACTCATCACTACATTACAATTCAATATAATTTTTTTTCCTTCACGTTCCCCAGTGGAACATAAGGCTTCAAGCTAGTAGTGGCTTGAAGTTTCTCTAGCAGTGTTTATTTTTACATGAAGGGGTTGCTAGCCTCATGCCCAACCTTTCGTCTTTACCAGCATTATTTCTGGCTTAGCTAGGTAAAGGAGTTTGTCGGCCGGGGATCGAACCCCGGACCATGTGAATGTTCGGCGAGCGTCCTAACCGCTATGCCACCAACGCACCAATATAAATTACGAGTAGGTAAACACACTGTTTGTGCACTGAACCACTATTACTGCTCAATCATCAAAAACACTGAAAAGGGTGGAAGATAAACTTGTGAATATATTCACAAACTAATACAGAAAAAGTTGTTCTCAGAAATGTTATTCGATTGCAGTCTGTATAGTTTGGGGGTAAAGAAATTTTATTTTTGAACTTTCTACATACATATGACATCTAGTATATCATCATTACTTATTAAAGATCAGAAGGCTCATTTGGCATATATCAACTAACGTCATCTCTAGCTGTCGACCAATGGGCACGTGTACTGCTCAGCAGTTCGCTCCGTCCGCCTTTACGGTTGGCTGTGAGACATAACCAATGAAAGTGGAAGATATTAAAAGACTAGCTGTCTTTGATCATAGGTGTTTGCATTCTATCTCATGTGTTAGATGGTGGTATAACACGGTGAGTAATATTGAGGTTAGGCATCGGTCGAGAGCTAGGTAAGAAGGGGAAATCAATCAATGGGGTTGTGAACTTACACTGATTGAGATAGTTATAACATGTGTCACACATGCCTGCTTAACCATAGCCTTCCTCGATCGGCAATGTTAGCTGACATAGGATGGATCAGGTTGGAGAAGAGCCTGCGATGGTCGAACGAAAACATGGCTTCATCATTCAATCAAATGTACAACAGTTAGTTTAAGCGAGCCAGTCATATAGGAAAGTGTAGACTTCTTGGCTGGTTGTGGCCCTCGGGTTAGTAAGAACCAATGGTGGCTGCAGATAATCGGTGATATCGCTCAAAATCGTTCTCAATGCATAGCGCAGATGCACACTCTTTGTGATGTATCCTATCCAATAAAACTCTGTTATTCTCTCATATTGCTATTCTTTTTGCTTCATATTTCTGTTTATTATCTCTGCCTTTTTTGAATGCCTCTTCTCTTGCTTCGTGCGCTCCATGGAATTTGGCAACTCAGATAGATGCACATCTGTGCAAAGTTCTATATTGAAACCAGTCAGTCAGTCAGTCAAAGAGCAGTATTTGTTGTGATGTATTTTGGTGATTCACGCAATTATTAAAAGAGTTAGAAAGTGAAGACGAACATACTAGGTATGATAGTTATATTTGATCAGAGTAATAGAAACCGAAAAAATAAAGGGACTGGGGCTAATTTAAGCGGACGATAGTTTCGTGTCATGCACACTGACAGAAGTTAGAAGATAAGATAATAATAGCTTTATTCCAAAACAGTACTTGTGATACAGAATAGAATTCTCAGCATTTCACTACAATATTCTAGGCGACGACTCTGACAAAATGCAGAGTCTTCTAAACACCTTGAGCAGCAATCTACGAATGTTTGGCATGCGATTCGCTCCCGCCAAATGCAAGATGATGTTACAGGACTGGACAACATCGACGCCTAGTTTAAAAATAGGAAGTGAAGTGGTAGAGCACGTTGACCGCTTCAATTATTTAGGAAGTACCATCAGCCAACGCCAACGGGTTGATCTCTGAAGAAATCTCAGCACGGATACAAAGGGCTCGTTTCACATTTGCCAGTTTACGCCGACTCTGGCGTAGACGAGATGGTCGACTATCGACCTAAGGGCGAGTGTACTGCTCAGCAGTTCTCTCCGTCTTCCTACATGGCTGGCTGTGAGACCTGGCCATTGAGAGTGGAAGATATGAAAAGGCTGGTAGCTGTCTTTGATCATAGGTGTCTGCGTTCTATCTCCTGTGTGAAGTGGTATAATAAGGAGAGCAAAATTGAGGTAAGGCGTTGGTTGAGTGCTAGGTAATGAGGGGAAATCAATCGACGAGGCTGTGAAGCTGCATCGACTCAGATGGTTAGGTCATGCGTTACGTATGCCTAGTCATCGCCTTCCTCGTCGGGCAATGTTAGCTGACATAGGGTCAGGCTGGAAAAGAGCTAGTGGCGGTCAAACAAAAACATGTCACCAGTCAATGAAATCCACAACAGTTAGTCTAAGCCACGTAGGAAGGTGTAGACTTCCTGGCTGGTTGGGGTCCTCGGGACGGTAAAAGCTAATGGTTGGAAACAATTGGTGATATGGCTCAAAATCGTTCTCAATGGCTCGGTGCAGATGCATCCACTCCTTGTGACTTATGACCTCCAATGAAACCGTTTTGTTCTTCGTTATTAGTCATCCTTTGTCTCACACCTCTGTTCACGGTCTCTATTATGCATTTCTTGTACTTTCTTCTCTTGCTTCGCGTGCTACACGGAGTGTGGCGACTTGAACTTCCGCACATTTTTGCAAAGTTCTATGTCGATAACAGACAGACAGACAGACAGAGAGAGACTACAATATTGCATCCAGTTAGTACATTAACAATAAATAAATTTCTGCATAGATTAAGGTAATCTTAGTTAGTTTTGACAACAACATATTAGCATGTCGGTAGCAAAGCCAAAATTAAATAGAGTGTCAGAAGGTGTTTAGAAAAGAAGTTCTAGCATATTTACTGGCGTAAACAGAAGAAACAAACTAAGCTGCACATAACAGAAAAACGAGGGAGAAAAGGAAAAGAGAGAAAGAAAAAACGTTGTACCTATAAAAGATATGAATTGAAAAGACACGATCCAGTTGTTCTACTGACTGTTCAATAAGTTAAACGTTTCACGCCTAATGCTTCCTTTATCGCACAGAACACGAGCTAAGTAGGGTATGGATGAGTTTTTGTACTTACTAGTGCGAGCATATAGTTTCCTGTATAGGCTTCTGGTTTTGTCTGATGAGATACAAAATTCAAATTAGTCAATCTTAGCACATATCAAAGAACTGATGTATATGACTTACCAAATACTGCTGGTGCAGACTTTTTGGATAACTCGTCTATATTATCAAAAGTAGCATCCATAATCTAATTAGAAAGAAGATGAATAAAATGAATAGTGAATTTAATACTTATTTCACACTTGAACAAAAGTTATGCACAGTAAGTACCTAGATATATTCTGCAAAAAAATAATACAACAAGCCATAAAGATGTAATATTTAAATTTGGTTGATGAGATTTACCATCTCTAAGTTTTAAAATGATACCTTCCCATGAATTTTCAACTTATCTGATAAGCCATTAAGCTGTTAAGAGATATGAAGCCCATTTTCTTGGAAAATTAAGACTCAACTGGAAAGAGAATAGATTCATCAGAGTTTGATAAGTTAATATCAAACATTTTCCAAACAAAAACATCTACGCTTAACAGATAGTCAGGTTAAACAGAAAACATTTCCTGTTTCTTTAACTTTGATCTGTGCTTTCAATGATGGGAAAATTTTTGTTTTCATAAAGTCTCACAGTGTTATACGGTAGTAATATTTACTGATGACTTTTCGAGCACAATTCATTCACATCAAGGTATTCACAAAACTTTCTAACTTCGTTTACATAATTCAACTATTTTCCATCGTTTGATTTGATTGGTGGTAGTATTTTCCATATTTCAGGTATGAGTGATGAACCATTCCTATTGCATGTGTTGGGTGTAGACTCAATGAACAAGGATTCAGTAATCAATCTCTCTCTGTCCACCTACTTCTTAGAATTTTAACCCTTTCCCACTCTATTGTGTGGTTGTGTGTTAATGCGTGAAGTGCAATCGCTGAGTTTTTTTCTAAATTACTTATCTTCTCGGGGTCAACCATTCTTCCCTTAGCTAAATTCTTATGTTCCGACAATCTCACTACCCCCGACCTACTAGTTTGACCTATGTAGTTCGCCTCACAGTCACTGCAGGATATTTTATAAATTATATTATTTTGCAAAGCAGGAAACACTACGCAACCTGACTGAAGAATCATGCGTGGAAGAGCATTGGAAGTCTCTGAAGGCGATTTCTCAACGAAACGTGTTCAACGGTTCTAGGAAGAGAGAAGAGACAAGACATGGAATCGCTCTCAACGGACACTTGGAAATTAATAGAAGAGAGGGGAATGGTGAAAGAGAAAATGATTCAATGCAAGGACGGACAGGAGAAGGAGACGCTGAGCCCAACTTACACATCACTGGACAAAGAAGTAAGGAAGAGTCCTAGGAAGGACAAAAGACAATTCTACGATAACCTGGTCACTGAAGCTGAGAAGGCAGCAGGCAAAAGCGACCTGAGGACACTATATTAGATAACCAAAACTCTATCCGGGAAGAGACCAACACAAGCGAAACCTACAAAAGACAGCCAAAGGAACCCAATCACCAAGGAAGAAAGACAGGTTAAACAATGGGCGGATCACTTCAAATGACTCTTGAACCGAACACCACCTGCAACCCGTCCAGAAATACCAACACTAGCACGTACACAACTGCAAGTTGACACCAATTCTCCAACATGAGCTGAAGTCTTGAATGCAATCAAGCTTCTGAAAGCTGGAAAAGCAGCTGGACCAGATGGAATACCCCCTGAAGCACTGGAAGCGGACCCAGAAACTACAGGAGACATGATGACTCACTCAGTAAATATTACTACCGTATAACACTGTGAGACTTTATCAAAATCAATTTTACCCATAATGGAATTATACTCCACCACAGTGCACAAGCTTTATTCTTATACTGATGAGTTTTTCTCCAAAGTAAGCCAAATAAAATCAATGTTCTTCAGTGCAAATGCTAAGCTGATAATTCAACTCAATTGAGGCCAGTCTACTGAAAACGCTTATGAATATATTGATGTTCTTCATAAAAATACACTTTTATTCCTTGATATTCTCATTTTATGCTGTTATCAATACATATGCGTCTTGGCTTTTAGATGACAAGCTCCGAATTGTGATTTCTAATCAGCAATTAGTTCATGAATACGTAAAAGACAAGCAGCAGCAGAAGTTTTTAACCACTTGAACGTGTGACAATAAATTTTCCTGCTAATGTGGTACCAGTTATATCACGGTCGCAACGACCGTTGACAGTGGTGGGTGACAAAAGCGAAAGAGATGGGAAAGGCATCGGCGACTGGCAACACCAGACAACTATTTAGGCTTATCATGGAAACTGGTGGTAAAGGGCAAATGATAAGTGAAACAATCTCGGAGAAAAATAGCACCACAATTAGCTCCCAGGATAGAAGACTGGAACGCTCGAAAGAGCACTATGAGGAGCAGTTTAATTGGCTCACAGCCACGCTCAACCTGCCGAACATCCAACACCTCCCTGAATGGGATATAGACACAGGTCCTCCATCCCTAACAGAGGTTACTAAAGCTGTCACCAATCTGAAACAAGGCAAAGCAGCGGAACCTGATGGAATGACTCCAGAGGTATTTAAGTACGGTGGAGACAGTTTACTGTCTGCATTAACTGGTCGGGGGTGGGTGCTCTACGCTGCGGGTTGGCCACCCCTCCGCACACCTCTTGAAATGCTCCCATATGACCGGGCGTCTTACATAGCCTCTCATGAGGAAGTCCTACTCACTGCCTTCACGTGGCGGAGGTGTTTTTCACCGAAAGCAAAGCAAAAGCGGATGCCCGGCGCTCACCACCGGGTTGACTGTCCATTGGATGACAGTCTAGGGGAGATGGCTAAACCCTGATTCCAAACCTCCAACGACTGGCGTATGAAGCTCACCGGCAGACGTATGGACAAAGGGCTTATTGGATGCCCTGGATGTCTGACTGTTATGTACTCGTCGCAAAATTATTGTTATGGTCTGGTCGAGAAACTAATAGTCCTGACGCGAGAAGGTGGAAATCAGAAGACCACTAGGTTTGCGATGATACTTCTATTGTCCAAACACAAGGAGACGAAAATAAATGGTCTCACACCAAAGTGGTAAGTAAGTAAAGTAGTTCACACAAAATGTGTGAACGAAATATATATATATATATATAACAAAATATATATAGCAGACATGTCAAACAACCATATATGGATATATGTCACTAAGCAACGGACTGTCAACAAACACTCATATTATATATAATATAATATAAGGAGAATACACATTAATAAAGGAGACAAGTTCATACAAGTGAAGTGGTCACAGACTAACCGAGCAAACAGAAAGAGAGACCAACATACACACACACACATAAATATATATGTGGATACATATCACTGACCCTATTCAAAAGGGCGTATGAACCGGACTCCGGTTACCGGCTGCCAATGGGTAGTGGACTCCCTACTCCACTCCTACTGCCTTGTAGGTCACACTTGGTTGTGTAAAGGCTAGAGCTGCACTCTCAAACAAAAGGCCGAGCGATGCTGGGGACATCACTCGTACCTAATTCCCATGAAACTTCATGAGCTCTAACCTTGCATCAGATCGCCGGGCCTGGGCAGCGATGATTCGAGATGTTCGTGAAGCCGGCTCATCTTCCCGTAGGAGATAGCCGAAGTAAAGTAAAGTAAAAAAGTATTAACTGAGGTTCTAGGTAGCGTCTGGGGATAAGAAGGAGTACCATCGGGCTGGTGTAAGTCACTGATTATCCCCATATACAAGAGAGGAGATAAGTCTTCCTGTGATAATCACAGAGGGATTAGCTTGACTAATATAGTATCTAAAGTCTTAGGCTCAATAATCATGCGTAGATTGAGTGGCGCTCGGGAGGCACAAACACGAGAGAACCAGGCAGGCTTTAGACCAGGAAGAGGGTGTATTGATCATATTTTCACCCTCCGACAGATTCTAGAACATAGTCATTCCTACCGGCGTCCAACAGTCATTATATTTCTTGACCTAAAGGCAGCATTCGACTCTGTCGATCGAGAAGTTCTCTGGGGATGCTTGGCTGTAAAGGGAATCCCGAGAAAATATATTGCACTGATTAAGGCACTCTACTCGTACTCACACAGCCAGGTGAGGGCCTACGGAGAGTTGTTATCTGAACTGGCGACAACTAGTGGTGTCAATCAAAGATGCCCTTTATCCCCTTTTCTATTCAACTTCATCATAGATGTAGTGATGGACTTAACTCTAACTCACTTCAGCGACTCACGGATTGACTTGAGACCAGGGAATAATCTCGTTGACTTAGAATATCCAGACGGTATAGTCCTTCTAGGCGAGAACGCTGACAAAATGCAGAGTCTTCTAAACACCTTGAGCAGCAATCTACGAATGTTTGGCATGCGATTCGCACCCGCCAAATGCAAGATGATGTTACAGGACTGGACAACATCGACGCCTAGTTTAAAAATAGGAAGTGAAGTGGTAGAGCACGTTGACCGCTTCAATTATTTAGGAAGTACCATCAGCCAACGCCAACGGGTTGATCTCTGAAGAAATCTCAGCACGGATACAAAGGGCTCGTTTCACATTTGCCAGTTTACGCCGACTCTGGCGTAGACGAGATGGTCGACTATCGACCTAAGGGCGAGTGTACTGCTCAGCAGTTCTCTCCGTCTTCCTACATGGCTGGCTGTGAGACCTGGCCATTGAGAGTGGAAGATATGAAAAGGCTGGTAGCTGTCTTTGATCATAGGTGTCTGCGTTCTATCTCCTGTGTGAAGTGGTATAATAAGGAGAGCAAAATTGAGGTAAGGCGTTGGTTGAGTGCTAGGTAATGAGGGGAAATCAATCGACGAGGCTGTGAAGCTGCATCGACTCAGATGGTTAGGTCATGCGTTACGTATGCCTAGTCATCGCCTTCCTCGTCGGGCAATGTTAGCTGACATAGGGTCAGGCTGGAAAAGAGCTAGTGGCGGTCAAACAAAAACATGTCACCAGTCAATGAAATCCACAACAGTTAGTCTAAGCCACGTAGGAAGGTGTAGACTTCCTGGCTGGTTGGGGTCCTCGGGACGGTAAAAGCTAATGGTTGGAAACAATTGGTGATATGGCTCAAAATCGTTCTTAATGACTGGGTGCAGATGCATCCACTCCTTGTGACTTATGATTTCCAATGAAACCGTTTTGTTCTTCGTTATTACTCATCCTTTGTCTCACACCTCTGCTCACGGTCTCTATTATGCATTTCTTGTACTTTCTTCTCTTGCTTCGCGTGCTACACGGAGTGTGGCGACTTGAACTTCCGCACATTTGTGCAAAGTTCTATGTCGGAAACAGACAGATGGACAGTTATATATACACAGAATAAAATGTGCACTTTTAAGGTGCTCTTCTGAACTTTACTCTGCCTGAAGACAATAATGATTGTGTAAGTTTATCATAAGTTCAACATTCCGATATTTGGTTAATTAGAGTCACAAAACCTCAAGAGACATTGACATAAGTCTCAGTCAGTATAGCTTGAATAGATCATTGCGGTTTTCAAGTCCGACCACCACGTCAAGGTAACAGCTTTCGGTCGGAAGAGTCACAAAACAGTGCACAAATTCAGACTGAATGGTGCAAGCAAAAGTTAAATTGCGAAAATTGTGCACTTTTGAGACACTAATCATATATGCGTCAGTTTGATAAATTTACTTTCTATTAATACTACAGTGAAAGGAGAATCAATAAGTAAGGAGAAATCGTGCCCGGTTATTATAACTTATCACTATGTGGACACTTCAATTCATTATTCAAAAGTGCTCCTATTAAACAGCTGACCTGCCAGAATTAAAACTGAATTATATTGATTTCAAAAATACAAATATTAACTGCTTGTTCCTGAAGGTCAGTTGTTACTTACTGTAGATATTAAACCCACTTTAAAAAGAAATGAAACACACTTTAGACTATGTAAAATATAACAAATGTGCTCTGCAACCAGCTTACCAAACCAGCCACATTAGGAAAGTTCATTGCTGTCCAAGAAGCTGTATAACCACCAATAGACCAACCAAATAAGTAAATTTGAGCAGGTTTGAAATTTAGTCGATGTACAGCGAATAGAAAGCATGCTTCTACAGCATTTTGCTCCTTCTCCGGAAATGGTAAACCCTTTAATATCATATAAAAAATTTAATTAGAAAGCATAGAACATAAATAATTGATTTAGCTATAGGTTCTATAAAGAAGAGAAAACAATAAAAAAAACACCCGAGAAGGGCAAGAACAGATAACAAACTGACATCAGTTTGAGAATCAATGAAAACCAGGGAGTACTGGACAAATGTGTCGTCCTTGTTTGGCACACGCATTTATAACCCCACCAGGAGTCGAGCCCGGCACGTTCAGGTTACGAGGTTACTAGTGAGCACACTCACTACAGGACACAGTGGTTAGGACTCTCGCCGACCATGCACATGGTCCTGGGTTCGATCCCCTGCCGACGCACACCTGATATCTATGGTCGGCCTGCAAAATTTCGGCTACCGATATCACATGCTGAAAATTCCAGACTTCTACCAAAAAGTACTGTGTGGAATCAAGCTGTAATAAAAAAAGCTGCTTACAGCTCTAGTGAGAAGTTGTGACAACTGGGTTCCACAGATTAGGGTGTGAGAATGAATACTCGCCATGCTAAGCGGTACAATATGGTCCATAATTATAAAATGTGACGTAGCATTAGGTACGGCAGTAGGCAAGTTTGTGAAGCCGCATCAAACTAGACGACTAACGCATGTGCCACGTATGCCTAACCACCGCCTTCTAGGATAAGCAACGTTAGCACATACAGGTTTAGGTTGAAACAGAGCTAGAATTGATAAGACCAAAACATGGGACCAATCAATGAAGTTTTTGGATGGTCTGACTGACGTAAGGGCGAGTGGATTGTCTGGATGTAGACATTCACAAGTTAAGAATCGATCGTTGGAGAGTGTCAGTGATAGATTTCAGAATCGTTCTCAATGTAATCAAGGATTTAACTCTTTACTATATTCAAGATTCATTGAATTCTCATTATTTTTTATGCGATTACTCTTCCGCACATCTCCGTTTATAGTAGTATTACTACTTTTCTTTTTGCTACTTATATGAAGTGTGACAATATGAACTAAAACACACACGTTTAACGTAGATAATTCAGTTCGGTTCAATTTTGTCGTCAATGGATAATGTCTGACACTTAGTAAATAGCTCGCCAGGAAAGAATATAATCCGGAAATAGCTAAGAGATTGCGAAACTGTCTTGGGAATAACTAAAGTCAGTGCTGAGCTCCGAATTGCTTTTCATACAATATAACCCAAGACTTTTTGTCAAAGTTGCGGCTGACGCTTCAATATAAGAAGTGGGACATTAATTTTATACGCCTTTCCGAACGGTTTACAGAAAGCAATTGTGCATGGGTTCAGAGCGCTGACCTTCGCAAAGCAGAAATATGAACAGATAGAAAAAGAATCTTTAGTTTTAGTCTTCGCTGTGAGAAGTTTCCGTAAAATTATTTACAGTTGTCGATCTACCTTGCTAACAGACTACAGACTGTTACTACCAATCTACTGTTCAAAATCTAATGCTCCTGCACTTGCAGCCAATTGATTATGGTGCTGGGTAATCATGTTGATGGGATTCCGTCATTAAAATCAATAAAACTAGTGTTTTAAACAAGCTGGTGCTTTGTCAAGTCTAGTGAAGATACTGTGATTGCAGCGATTTACCCTCAAAGACAACGCTGTTCGATTTTTACCAGCAATTGTTAACCGAAAAAGAGCTTGCAATGAGCGGTTACAATGACTTAAAACAGACTAGGAGGTCCTTGTCGCATCGCTGGCCAAATATTCGGCCCGGTGGCAATTTGCAATATCTGTTTGCTCGTCACGAATCCCTGTATATTGCAGAGGACTGTTTGAAGCACGAAAAGCATATAGTATTTCCAAAAGCTGTTCTAACTGAAGCTCTTAAACACTTTCACACGAGACATAAAGTTTACCTCCACGGGCCCCTCATATTGACTAAATACGAACCAACACATCACCAACTTTGTTAGGTGACGTTCAAAACATCAGCAAGCAGTGAAACTTTCTCGCTAAATACCCCCTACCCCTACGGCATAGGGAGTAGTCTCCTAATAATACAGACTTCGTCAACCCCACAAATACTATATCCTGCTTAGTGGTAGTAGACTCCATTTCAAAATGCCTGGCGATTAGAACGGTTGTCTGATAAACAACGTCACAGACGCTAAGATGACTACCTGAAATATGGTCTGCCGGAAACAATAGTTATAGGCAAAGAGTTTTAGTTTACTGATCATCAGTTTCAGTAGTACTGCCATAGCATGCTATCATGCATGCTTTCACTATTATATCATACAAACGGTCAGGCTGAACTATCTGTTAACATTTTGAAGACACCCACACTTAAAGCGAAGCGAGTGTAGATACCACTTGCTTTCACACAGCGCAACTCCGAATGATTCGCTACCAGCGAAAATGCTTTATGGACATAAACTAAGGATTATTCATAGCTCATTCTTAACAAGGGAACTTAAGCAATCTGTTTCACTAAACAAAATCAAAGAAGGATTCCATATTGTTGCTGATCTCTGTTCCCATGATTAAAGATCATAGCACAAGGCTCGGAATGAACACTTCGACGTAGCATGACAAGGATAAGTTATTTATGATATAAAAGTTGACGGTAGTATATGGACTCGTTGTTACAATCGGTTAAGCCTACAACGATTAGACTCGGTCATCAAACCAAAGCTGATTCCGTCTTTTGACACATTGGTAGAGACATGTTTAGGGAACATGAAATCATCTCCACATATTGATGACATAGATGTCCAAGTGAAACAATATTTCTTCTTATATTTGGAGTTGATGTGGATCATGAAGCGGTAATTATATGAACAAAATTCCAAGCAACAACCAGTGTTGTGGGTCAGCTGAAACGCAGACAGTTATATCAAACGTGAGAATTGAAATATAAAGACACCTTTGTATTTATAACAGATACAACATAAATAAATCAGTAAACAGTTGAAGTGCTAAAATCAAGCTGTATAATACCGTGCTTTCTCCAAAACCAGGATGATTCCATCCCAAAACTGAATACCCCTGTTCAAGTGGGACCACGGGTGTTCCAATCTCAGGATATCCACCATTACCTTCACAGCAGAGTATCTATGAATGACAATTGTCAGCAAACAAAACAAAAGATAATGATTGTTATGATACATTTTCAGAATAAGGCCATAACTTACATCAAAGATAACTCCAAATGAATGATATAACCTACTGCTAGCTAAATCGAAGTGACTAACTCCACAATGAAAGTGAAGGGATGGATCCATAAGTGAACCACACGAACATTCCACAAAAACCTGCACATATTCCACCATGTTAATTTCGATAAAAAGACCAATATTTTCGAAAGGATTATTAAGAAAGTCTGAGCAAATGGATGCAGTGCACACCAAAGGACTAAAGATAAAGTGTAATGAAACATAATACAACCGCCTTGTTGTCTCCTACATCTTCAAGCACTCTGTTTTTGGGAATCATAACTAGAACCAATGAAAGCACGATTACTCAATCTATAAACAATATTTTACACTTTAAAAGGAAGAGTTAACCAAACAAAGTGAAGTTTCAAGTGAACATTTTGATCATGTGGATAAAACAGCTAAGAATTCTAAATCTTCTTTTACGCATCATGGGTGGACAATTCATTTATTATCATGGAAAAAACAAATTACGTCTCACACACTTGACGACTGTAAAGTGGCTAGGATTTCCATGTAATTACTGGTGTAATTCACATTTTTGAAAGGTAATTTCACTGTTGCTTACGGTATTACAGAATAATATGGCACAATACTTGGAAAGATTAGTATCTAAACATTTATGATATCCCAGGTCCTCACAATAAGCAGGTTGTCGATTTCTCAGGTTTAATAGAGGCTTTATGCAACTACTACTCATCAAGTTCCTCTAAAACATTATTTAACATTTGCTAACTAGAAACTCCTAACAATTTCATATTCAGTAAGTTCATCTGATATAAGGCATAGTGATTCATTATCAACATTTTGAGTACAATTTATTGCTAATAATCACATTAATGTTTCTACACTACTTTCTAAAATGCTATTTAGTAAAAAAAAATATGTTCAATTTTTAATACTGTGTCGGTGTGTTATATATCAAATAAACTTATTTGATTTGTGTGTCAGTTGTTTAGTGGTAGAATGCTCTCCACGGAAACGCGGGGGGGGGGCAGGTGACCGAATTCGATTTTCAGTCAATGCACCACTAAATCTTGCCCAGTTTACCAGGCGGTAGTAAGTTCAGAAAACAGGCAAGGTGGTGTATTAGGTTTGCAACCCAACGCCGTAAAAACAGCACCATCGGTACGGAAACTTCACGACCCTGAAGTTCTATATTCCACTCGGAGGGTAAATAATGAAAAAAAAACTGGAATTATATTCTACATTAGTCCACAAAACTGCTGAGGAAAATTCACAGTTAAAACATGGAGATAGATAATTGATTTTAGATGGAAAAGAGGATGCTGCAACTAAAGCAAATGGTGTTTTTAGGAATACAAAACGATAATAAGAATTTTAAAAAATGTTGTAAAAGCTACACAGCAATGGTTAGCACAATTAACTATCATGATAATAGCAAAATATCATCTTACTAGAATTTCTCCCTTAGAATCCCCATGTCCAACTGAAGTAGATTCTGATGAAACCGGTACCGATCCTCGACGATCAGCATAAAACGCTTCCACAAATTCACCATCTCTTGTTGAAAACCCAACTCTACGAATATCGTACTGATTGAATGTCAAACGCATGAAGTGGAATTTTTTGACAAAGAGAACCATGAAGGAAATGCAAAAATACAGATATTAGCCTATTATATGCGAGTGCTTAGAAGCGTCAAACACGAATGAAGGAGATTACAGCTGATGCACAATAAAAAATAATACTACTTTTAAATCTAATGTTCTAATTCTGGTCATCGAAAACAGTTGTAAACCTCAGTTCCACCATTGTCTGGACAAGGTGAACCAAGTAGTACAAAAATGTGCACAAAGCTGTAAGTTTCATTTAATTCGTTAGGGTTAATGAAAGCCGATTTTGTTCAGAAACTCAACAGGTGATGTGACCTACGGACTTATGACCTGTTGGCAACGGTTTCGGTGCTCAAATTACAAAGTTTGTGATCCTAAATGTGAGAAAAACGTGGTCGTAAAACTTTGAAACTTCAACATATTCTGATTCACTTAAAGGGCTAATTTATTGGAGCAAAAACAAAGTTTTATCATGTTGTAACAGTCAGTATTATCATACGGATGGGTGGATTCTCTCTAGTATCATTAACAGCCGAGGTTATTCATGCAAATGTATTCACTCATGTTTAACTTTCAGCATCAATCGTAGTGTGTTACCAGCCTTAATGTATTTGTCCCTCATACTTATATATCCTCTTCTAATTCACATATTATTCTGTTTATGTGATTTTTCAGTGTGAAAATGAAGTTATACACTTCCATAGAAAGCATCGTTTATCTGGGCAATTTCGAACGAGCCAACCTGATACTTACTTACTTTACTTCGGCTATCTCCTACGGGAGGATGAGCCGGCTTCATGAACGTCTCGAATCATCGCTGCCCAGGCGCGGCGATCTGAAGCAAGGTTTTGCGATAGGGATATCCAATTCTTGTTCCACATACGGAGTCCGTAGACGGTTTGTAGCCCCAGGCACTCCATATCTGCCTTGACTGTACCAAGCCATGTCTTCAGCTGTCCGCCTCTGCGACATCGCCAAGATGGTAATGGCGAGGGATTTAGAACTGATTTGACCAGATCGTCATCTGGTCGGCGCAGAACATGGCCAAACCACCGAAGGCGGCGTTGTTGGACCAGTACTGGAATTTGGTTGATGTTGTAGCAACGCCGACGCACTTCTTCGTTGGAGAGTTTGTCCTGCCAACGAACATGCAGAATGTACCTGAGACACCAATGGTCTAATACCTCGAGTCTGCGTAAATCTTCCGCGCGAAGAGGCCAGGTTTCACAGCCATACAGCAGAACGGGTCGTATGGAAGCTTGGTAGACCCGAATTTTAGTCCTGAGACTGATTTCTCTCTTGCTCCATAGAACGCTCCTCAGCTGTAGAAACGCATTCCGGGCGTTGGAGATTCGCGCATTCACTTCGTTTTTCGCTTGGCCGTTGGGGAGCATTATGGATCCCAGATATCTGAAGGATGGCACAATTTCAATAGGTGCTCCATTTAGGGATAAGATTTCATCATTGCCGGTGGATGTGTTCGAAAACATTTTGGTTTTGGAAGTGTTAATTTTCAAACCGATAGTAGGCGCGAGGTGGTTTATCTGGTCGAGCGCCTGTTGCATATCGGGGAAGTTTTCAGCTAACAGCACGACGTCGTCGGCGAATTCGAGGTCGGTTATGTGAATATCGGGCGAAAGTTGGACGCCGTGGTGCTCGGTTAGGGCGTGCCGCAAAATCCAATCAATTGTGAAATTGAACAGGATGGGGGATGCTGGACAACCTTGCCGGACACCGCTGGTTACCTCAAAAGTGCGGGACTCTTCACCGTTCACTCGGACTCGAGCTTTGGTGTTGGAGTAGTATGACCTGAGCAGGTTGATTAGCTTGGTCGGAACTCCGTCGAGCTCCATTAGATACCAGAGTGCTCCTCGATCAACTGAGTCGAATGCCGCTTGGAAGTCGATGAAGCAAGCAACCGTCGGCTGTTGGAATTTGTCCCTGTGTTCCAAAATTCTTCGCAGTGTGAATAATTGATCAACACAGCCTCTTCCAGGTCGAAATCCGGCTTGATTTGGCCTTGTTCGCACGTGGCGTTCGGCCGCGAAGCGGTTCAGGAGAATGGAAACAAAAACCTTAGCAGCGATATCAATCAGACTTATGCCTCGGTAGTTCTCGCATATTGACCTGTCTCCCTTTTTGTGGAACGGTAGCAGAACTGAGGTGCTCCAATCGGAAGGAATGGTTTCGGACTCCCAAATTGAGCAGAACAGCGAGTGCAGTGCATCGATTAGCGCTGGAGTGCAGGCCTTGTATATTTCTGGGGGTAGACCATCTTCGCCCGGAGCTTTTTTGTTTCTGAGTCTGTTAATTGTTTTAGCTATTTCGGTTGGAGTGGGTGGATCGCAGTCAACTACGTAGGGTGTTGGTAAGTGTCGTATCGGTCGATGAGACGGTTGACCAGCGTCGCGATTGAGTAGCTGCTTGAAGTGTTCGGCCCATCGTTCCATCTTACCATTGGTGTCCGAAATAATTTCTCCTGATGCTGTGCGTAACACAGCATGACTGTTAAGGCGTTTGCCAGATGATTGGCGTAAGAGGCGATAAAGTTTTCCGAAATCGCCTACATTTGATGCTGCTTCCATGTTAGTCGCCACGTTAGACCAATAGCGATTTCTGTCGTTCCTAGCAGACTGTGTAGCTTTGCGCCTGAGGGAGCGATAAACTGGAGACTTTGCTAGGCGAGCGTCTCTGGCTTGCGAGGATAGAAGCATGGTGTGCTCTGAAATCCAGTCTTTCTGCTTCTTGGATGTGGTACCCAAATGCGACATTGAAGCTTTAGAGACTACTTCTTTGAAATGATTCCATCGTGTCTCGGGTGTATTAGAAGATGTGGATGTTGGTTCATCTGCGGCGCTTAGTTCGGCCTGGATTTGTTTGGACAAGGCTTGTCGTTTGTAGAACATTGAAGCGGGGCAACATTGATACGCTTCGGAGGTCGCGCCTTCTGGCGTGTCGTTAAACGAAGTTTGAATTTCGCCCTAACTAGAGTATGGTCTGATCCCCCTTTATTTCCGGCCTCTGCTCCACGATAGGATCGACAGTCTTCCACCGAGGAGATCCAGCGTGAGCGCACTAGGATGTAGTCGATCTGATGTGCAGTGCGACCGTCGTTCGAATACCAGGTGAGAAGATGTTTTCTGGGGTGTTGAAATCGAGTGTTGGTGATATATAATCGATTGTAATCAGAAAAAGCTAAAAGTCTATCACCATTACGGCAGCGCTGATCGAGACCGTGTTTGCCTAGTATATGTTTTGTCGCGTCGTCTGAAGGGCCAGTGCGGGCGTTCCAATCGCCGGCTACTATGAGAACGTCACGCTTTGGGATTTTGTTGATTGCCTCTTGAAGATTGTCATAAAATTCGTCTTTGATACTTTCATCAGAGTCGAGGGTTGGGGCATAGACAGCGAGAACAGAAATGTCGAGCGGGGAACCCTTGAACCTAGCGACTGCAACTCTGGAGTTGACCGGTTCGAATGATATTAGGGCATTATTGGCTTTGTTACTGAGAGCAAATGCTACCCCATGTTGTCCCGAATTATTCTGGGGGCCACTATGAAGCAACCAGAATGAAGAATCTGTTCCAGGAACGGCTATTCGGCGGGAGCCATGATCGGGTAACCTCACTTCAGATAGACACGCTATGTCTACCTTGTAGTCATATAAAGAACGCATGGTGATAGACTGGCTACCAGGATCCAACAGCGTCCTAACATTCCAGCAGCCAACAAATAGTTGGTTTCTAAGTGTTAATTTCCCAGCTAGCTTACTTTTCACACTGGCCACCGGGTGAGCACAGGGCGCGTCGCTTACCGGGAACGCCGTAGCATGGTGAGAGTTGTTTGTAGGAGAGTTCATGAAGTTTCTTGGGAATTTGGTACGAGTGATGTCCCCAGCATCGCTCGGCCTTTTGTTTGAGAGTGCAGCTCTAGCCTTTACACAGCCAAGTGTGACCTACAAGGCAGTAGGAGTGGAGTAAGGAGTCCACTATCCATTGGCAGCCGGTGACCGGAGTTCGGTTCATACGCCTTTTTGAATGGGGCCAGACATCCAGGACATCCAACAAGCCCTTTGTCCATACGTCTGCCGGTGAGCTCCGGTGAGCTTCATACGCCAGTCGTTGGAGGTTTGGAATCAGGGTTTAGCCATCTCCCCTAGACTGTCATCCAATGGACAGTCAACCCGGTGGAGAGCGCCGGGCATCCGCTTTTGCCCTCTCACTTTAGTGAGAAACACCTCCGCCACGTGAAGCAACCTGATACGCCATCTGCATCGACATAAGTGGATGTCCAATTGTCAACGACCATATGAACTGATGTTCTGGTTTAATTAATTCTACCTTTTACAGTATAATCCTACTTTAGCTAACATTATTCATCGTGGAAGGTGATTCAGGACACACACACTAGCACATACCATAACCGTCTCAATGGAATAGACCTGATAACAACATATATTCTTATCTAGCATTTTATTTATTTGCTGTTTTCTCCCACCTAACATGAGTAAATGAACGCAAACACCTATGGCAAAAAAAATCTAAATTACTTAACATCTAACCTCATCGGTCATGCCTGGCGGCCGTAAAGCAGGACATGAAACATTAATGAGCCGCTAAACACATTCATACATGGTTGGTCGAGTATCACACCCACATCAAAGATAATGCAAGTTGGCAACGAAAAGAGTCTACATAAAGCTGCTTTTTCAGATTCTGTGTGAGTTTGTAAAAATCTAAAGTAGAAGACTGAAATTATCTGATTTGCGTAGCAATAGCTGTCTACAAACATCATCAGTGTTACACATACCAGTTCATTGGCCTTCCTCCATGATCCATGTCAGCTATTACAGGATAGGCGTGGAGACAAGTCAATGGTGATCGAATCAAAACCCGGGATCAATGCACGGTATTTATCACTGTTAGTTTGAGGTGTATGGGTATGGACTTCCTGGTTGAGGTCCTTGAGACGCTAAGGACCAATGGCTTAAGACTCTTGGTGACATAGTTCAAAATCGTTCTCAATGGCGAAGATGCATTTACTCTTCGTAACCTCCCAGTTCCACTAAGTCCTTATGTTCCCGATGTAGCTTTTCTTTCTTCTCAAAATTTCCTTCCACTATAGTTTTTTACGAGTTTCCTATTTTCCCAACTTTATGGGAGAGTGTGGCAACTTGGACTGTTGTATTTTTGTGTTTTTGACTTGTCATTTTTCAGACAGGGTTTTCATTTAAAAAAAACCCAGTTATCATCTCAAATGAGATTCGAAAAGTAACAGAATGACTTGAGCTACCAGATGTGTAAATTCATTTTTTTTTACTTTAGTCAACAAATTATTACGCGGCTTTGGTTAAGTACAGTTTATAACAAGTTCAATTCAAAATGAAATTTACGCGTTAGAAAACTTTGGAGAATATAATGATGACAAAACTTACCAGTCTCCTCAATCTGTCCCGTGCATCCAATCTGGCATTCACTAATACAGAGTTAGAACATAAAAATGCATCTATTATTGAAAGTATCAAGCCAATAAAGAATTATCTAGGAAATTACTTTTATATGAAAAATATATAGAGCATTATTATGCAGAGGAAAATTTAACAGTAACGAACCTACAACAAGGCACTAATGCATGAAGTTACTGATGGTCGAGAAGAGCCGTACTGAGTAAAAGGTAAGTTAACCAGCACAGCTTTTGAAATGTCAAGAAGCATTGGTAAAATATTATGGACAACAGCCATGAACCTGTCAAAATGATCCAAATGCAGTTTCTTTCAAATGCTTGATTATCTTATTATTCTATAATAAGGTATCATCTTTCCGCTTGTTTTTCAAGCTGATATTAGTAACTTTATATCGTTCTTGTTGACCTCTTTCTTCCCTGTGGTGAAGTATGACACTATAAACCACTGAACTTATTTCAGAATGTACTGTGTTGTCCACCATCTACATCTACCCAAGCAGTGTATATCAATGGTTTATGGCATAAAAGTTGAACAATATGATAGAATATAATTCAAAGTTATCTTATTTGTCTGTTAAAACAAGCGAAATAGTGTTATTGATTGAAAAACACCACCGGTGGAATCCATTGGCAAATAACAAGTACTTTGAAATGTTGCGGTAGATTTGTAGTCTAGATGGATATCTTTGTTATTGTGTTCTGCGAGATAGCTTATTTGTGAAGTTTTTCTCCTTACTTTAGACATACATAACTTCAAAAAAAAGTGATATTCTGAAGGTAAGGAAAACTAAGACCGATTTTTGAGGTCTCATAGAATTCAGTAGGAATTTTTAAACAAAGGGTGTGTATATCTCGATATAAGAAAACTTTACTTTAGCTTTCATGAGAAAGAAGTATGATAAGCCACTAAGATTAAACTCAGATTAAAACATAAGGAAATACACTATATGGGATTCCGTAACAAAAAGTACATCAGTTTACGTACATTTACGAGATGTAAAAGATGTTAAGGTATACGAGATTGGAAAATAAAAAGGGCAGCGAGTACATGGAACTAAACTGTAGCAACCTACTTCGAATCATTTCATTAGGATTATCTGATGTCCAAACTAAATCTACTACATTTGTGATCACTCATCGGAATAGAGAACAGTTAATAATCGTATCAAGTGAATTAAATTTCTACACTAAAACTCTAAGTCTAACTTTAGCATTTTTTACTATATGGTCTCTACTTGATCAGACGGCGCTTAAAAGGCATAGTTAACAGGATGCCTCTGACCGATTTTCAGCCTAAAAAAACAAAAACTATCTTGTAATAATTTTTTCATACCGAAATCCACATAAATAGCCAATATGGGACATGGCATTAATTTAAATGTCCAGAAAAAACATTTTGTATCCCTGTTGAGATTAGGTCACTAGTCACTTCTAGAATAATAATAATAATAAGCGATCAATGCACTCAGCCATTTCATTATGTGAAAGTGCACGCCCTTAATATGATCCTACAACGTTTCTAGAGCTTCCACCTAATCTAAATCCATCAGATCCTCAGACAGACGAAGTCTTAAAAAGTTGACCATAAAAATAAGTATAGCTACCAACACATTGACTAGGAATAGTAATAACCATGTTCCATTACTTTTAATGCCACTTTTTCATAACTCTTCGTATGACTGAGAGTAGAAGTGAAAAAAACCTTTAAACACATGTGTTGGCCATCAGTTTTAAAATCAATACTATCAAAGTGTACGACAGAATGATCGTGTCTCCTGAAACAGTATAACACACGGTAATTAAGTGAAACTCGAGTGCATAATGAGAAACACTAGTTATCATCTCTCCATATTCATTACAGTAGAAAAAAAGTGCATACCGGAAAGTTAAATAGCAAATTTATTTTACAAAAATATAATACGCTCACAGGTAAGCGAGTTTAAAATCCCTGTACATCCAATATAAGCCATACGAACACCAATAGTATGTGCGATAACCCATCTAAAAAATGAATGAAAAATGACATGCAAAGAATGGAATAATTCCATAAAGCTGTGATCAGAAATCCAAAGTCAGAAATCGTGAACACTCCATTAAAATTCTACTACAGAAAACAACAAATATGTGAAGTATTCATGTTTATGATGACTAATTTCTTATTCTACTTATGAATCATCTATATAAGACAAATGGAAACGACAACATTGGGTTTTAACAGTTGTGAAAAGGTAAAAACAAGCATCACACAGGTATGTGGTCTACCGTTTTGGCTAGTTGAGTGCACCAGCCTTTCTGAAAAATTCAGGGGATCAACTGGGGATAGGAAGACGTGATGTCTCATCCTTGATCTCAGTAGACCATGGCTTCGAATGAGGGAAAATATAATAAACAAACATAAAAATGTAAAAAGAATGCCTAGAAGCATGGCATTTAGACGAAATTGTGGCCTATAGACATGTAAGAATAGATCCAATCTAATACCTACTGAGAAATAAAAATCACCTCTCAATGGATTAACTGGAAACGCACCATACTTGGTGAGAATACGAACAACGCGGTGCTTTAGTATTTAATTTTAGTACGTAAGTTTCCTGACCCAGATAGCAGCAGTCAGTTAACGACTCTACTTCATTATATGCATCCAGTCAATATTGTTAATTCTTTAACACATAGTTGGAAGTTTTAATCTTGTGTCTTTAATTTGGAATATGTTTTTTACTTCATAGTTCTACAACTTGAAAAATAACTGTTCAAATGGATGCACTTGGAAATGAGTCGAACATCCAGTCAATCGCTGTTGAATACGGAAATTTTTATCAGCCATGTCTGAGTTCCTAAAACTCACTAGATCAATCGAGTCTCTGAACAAAAATGATACGCTCCAGGTATGATCGTAGACTGATGTCAGTTAAAGAACCATTGAATAGCCACTGTTTCGGTGGCTATTGACACAGCTGTCCAGTAAATGTATTCTCTGAGCTCGTTGTTCTACATTGTTCTTTTAGAAATTTTTAGCGCAAGTTTTGGTATGGTTTTCAATGATTCTCTAAATGACATCAATCCGTGGTCAAACTTGAAACAAATCAACTCCCTACAAAATAACCCTTGGAAAAATTATAGATATTCAGTTAGCGCATCAAGAAGAATAAAGAACACCGTTCTGAAAGTGGTACTTAACTCAATGAAATTTCATACGTCAGGTCGTGGTCACAACTTGTTATTTTTGGGAAAATAACAAGTCTCGCATGTTGAAAACAAAAATAAACGACTCACATCAAGGGTGAAAATACAGCAGGCATATCCGAAGTACGTCTAAGACTCATCTTTTTGGGTTTTATGTAACCGTCAGGTAATTGACGAACGTCAAATTGGACAGGCCAAGGAGAGCTGAAAGCATAGAGAGATAATTTGTTCTGTAATATTTTGTTAAGAAATTGTATGCTGTGAATATTACCAAAGTGGCCTCAGTAGTGTTTTTCTTGCTTTCTAAAAACAGAGTCATGAACTCCTGATATGTACGATTGCAAAATCTTCCAGTTCCTACAATTATTAATGTGGTTGCAAATGTGGTTGCTAACCTCTAAAGAGAAGAGCTGAAAAATATAATGCAAATGTGACGGCGAGGAATCTAGAGAGCTGAAAAAGACTGTCATAGGATTTCACTAAAGATTGAAAAGTTATGCAATGCATTATTACAAAATAACGTACATTTTCTAAACGCCCAGGGACTCCAGAAAAGCACTGTCCACTTGATCACACCCATTGCTATATGGAACATTTTGAGAGCTGAGGAGGAGGTCATTTCTAATGAATTCGGGGTGTATGCCGTTGACTTTATCATTACAAAAAAGAAAAAATCGTACGCACCTGATCTGCCGTTACATCTGGGACCCGATATACTGATGGCCCTAATACGCAAGACCACCAAACATGGATGGACTGCCACATACTTGTTTATAATGACCAACAACAATCGCTGTAAGCAGTGAAGTCCAATTTGAATGTTTGAGTAAAAACAGCAGGTTGAAATACCGGTTGGAAAATTACAATGTAGTATGCTGAAATAAAGGTTGAATAAAAACTCAACTATTAAGAAGATAATGGGCAGAAACACGAAATGCATAGAGAAAGCATCAAGACGATAGTAAATACACACTAACTGCGACAGAAAGAAGTTACAAACACATACTAGATTTATCTTAACACTGACATTTTGGAACAAAAACAGACCACAAATAATGAAAACAACTAATTTGGGATGCTAATTTTAATTAAAGCTTGCCAGTGATAAAGAATATTTCTGGTGTTTGATAAATTTTACCAGATGCTGGAAAAGTATTATTACTATTACCTGAAGGCTGAGGAACAATGCAGAATGCGAAACGAACATTTGCTATGCCTTTCTCTCCATCAACACTGATATGAAGCGATGCCTGTTATGACGCGCATGCAAAACCGTAGTATTATAGGCAGACTCGGATTTGGAAGAGTGATCAGTCAGAATTCTGCTATACCTATTAAATGCAAGGTTGTATCACCAGCTGTCAGGTATTATAAGTCAAATTAAGTCTATTTCACAAGTATAAACTGATTTACCAACTTTAGTAAGTCATTTTATTTTTTTAATTTCACATTCTTCTTTGCAGCTGATTATATCGGATGTCGTAAGCGAGTTTTTCGTAAACATGTTCTTAAACATTAATCGGCTTGACTGACAAGTGAAAAAAAAGGATCAAAATTCTTTATTTGTGAATATCTGAAGTTGTCTACTGACTGTTATCTAGGTTATTAACGTGGCGTACTTAAACAGCAGCAAAATCTTGGGCTCCGATTGTTTGCATATATTTGAGGCAACAGCCATGCATTAAGAATAGAGAAACTGAAACTCTGCGTTCGTTACCGTAACTCCAATATGTTCTTCTTCCTAAACAAGACTCCACTTTTTTTCTCTTTTCTGTCACTACCATTATTAATCCTATATCACTTGGCTCATTTTATGCCTTTCAAACCAACTATTTTCATCAAGTATTGTCTGTTTAGGGCATGTTAATTCTACATCCTAACTTTAACGTGAACTATTTTACCCGTAATGACTGGGTGAGTGTAGTGCGACTGTCCTATGCATGTAACATAAATATGATTGCACAGCTCAAAAACAAATTTGTTGGAGAAAATACGGGATTTTTGAATAAATGTCCCTTTTTCTTATTTATAAGCAGTCGTATCAAGAAAATATAGAGATAAAAACATCAAGATGTGACATTTACTGAGGTCTGACTCTTCTCAGTTGTGTTAGAGGAAACAATTTTTCTGACAATCTTAAATGCAATCTGAACATGATGTTGCGAGTCCTCAGGACTTACGAATTGGAGTCAGCAGATCTGCTGAAGATACACATATGCTTTAGCTTCATTCAAAATTTGTTTCAATTTGATTATAAATGCCATTATTCATTTACTCGTGCTAGGGAGGCTGGAAGTGCTAGGAAGGACAAAAGACAATTCTACAACAACCTCGCCACTGAAGCTGAAAAGGCAGCAGGCAAAAGCGACCTGAGGACACTATATTAGATAACCAAATCTCTATCCGGGAAGAGATCAACACAAGCGAAACCTACAAAAGACAGCCAAAGGAACCCAATCACCAAGGAAGAAAGACAGGTTAAACAATGGGCGGATCACTTCAAATGACTCTTGAACCGAACACCACCTGCAACCCGTCCAGAAATACCAACACTAGCACGTACACAACTGCAAGTTGACACCAATCCTCCAACATGAGCTGAAGTCTTGAATGCAATCAAGCTTCTGAAAGCTGGAAAAGCAGCTGGACCAGATGGAATACCCCTGAAGCACTAAAAGCGGACCCAGAGACGACAGCAGATATGCTGTCTCCACTATTGCAAAAGGTCTGGAAGGAGGGAAAGGTGCCTACTGACTGGAGGAAAGGTTACCTCGTGAGTAACTTAGGACTCTGCAAGAACTGGCGAGGAATCATGCTCTTGTCGACGCCAAGTAAGATCCTGAGTCACATCATCCTGGAGAGAATTAAGGACGCACTGGATACAGAACTCCGACCAGAACAAGCTGGCTGCATTCAGGAAAGGCGAATCATGTACCGACCAAATTGCAACTCTACGCATCATCACAGAACAAAGCATGGAATAGCAATCAAACCTCTAACTCAACTTTATAGACTTTGAGAAGGCCTTCGACAGACAGCGTTGACCGCGAAGTAATTTGGAAATTACTCGAGTACTACGGCGTACCCTAAATATTCATCAACCTTTTTCAACAGCTGTCAAGTCATCCACAACGGAAATCTCAGCGAGGCGTTTGGAGTAAACACACGAGTCAGACAAATGTGCTGGCTTATCATCACCAATGATATTCCTAATCGTGGTGGACTGGATTATGCGTCAGACAGTGGGAAACGAGAAGACAGGGATATCCTGGGCCAACGTGAAGAACCTAGAACTGGATTTCGCACACAAAATCGAAGACTTACAAGCGAAAACCGACAAACTGGTCGAAGAAGCAGATAGTGAAGACAGGACTCCAAGTGAACATTGACAAGGAGGAGGTTTTGAAAATAACCAACCAACAACAACAACAACAGAAACATCCATCCCCGATCACCATCAAAGGGAGGGATTTGAAAGAGGTTACTTCATTCACTTATCTAGCACTGAGCATTGTCTCAACTGCAGGCAGTCGGAACGGACGGGGATGTCAAGTCGAGAATCGGGAAGGCGAGTGAGAAACACATTCATCAACCTGAAACCAATTTGGAAATCTTCGTCACTCAGCATCAACAACAAAATTCGGTCGGATTTTCAATGCAAACGTCAAGTCAGTCAGTTTTTCTGTACGGATGAGAAACTTGGCGGTTGGGCCACAAAAAACATTTCCAACAGCATGTTGCAGACTTTTATCAACAAACAACTGTCTTGGCTCTATACTGAAGATCAGATGGTCAGAAAGAACCACCAACAAGAAACTATGGGAACAAACAAAACAAGGACCAATCGCCCGACAAATATGCAGGAGAAAGTGGAGATGGATTGGACACTCGCTGAGGAGGCCGGTTGGTGACATCGCACGTCAGGCCATTGCTCGAGTGGACCCAGGCCAAAAGGGAATCGGTGAATGGATCGTCATTGGAAGGGTGACATGGAGGAGATCGTGCGAAGAGGAGCTGAAACAGTATGGACTAACATGGATGCAGATGAAAAGTACAGCAGAAGACAGAAGCAAGTGGAGACGTGCAGTTGAAGCCCTATGTTCCACTAGGAACCCAAGGGAACAATAATAATAACAATAATAAGGGAGGCTGGAACTGGCAAATTATGCAGTTCGATTTAAATTGATACATAAGATAAAACTATCCACTTATAAGTAGATAGACGATTGGTTTTAACAGAGAACTATGCACCTGAGTTCAGGTTACGGAGACTCTAAACCATAGCAGCCCAAAACGAAACTACCTAATGAACGAACTGATGACCCTGACAGATTTATTTACAAGAATTGGTCACCCAATTTGCTGACTAAAAAAGTACAGTGTGTTTACAATTTTAAAGTTCGTGTATTTTGAAGTCACATACAACCAGACAAAGTTTAACAATAACTGAGATTTATTAGCATACGGAATATAGTCTCCTAACAGTAACACAATGCAGAAAATGTGCGCTTCGATCAATATCCAATATCCTGATTACGAGCTAGTATAAACCAGTGATTTCTTTGAGCTCGCTTCTTGATTGTGAGGTAGAGGTTCCAGATCTTCGGTGAGCTTCTGCGTAGTAAGTCCCGCCACTCGACTGTTTTAGCTCTGGTAGACTCCAAGAGGAGTGGTGCGGGGATTGGTCGAGATGTGGTTTGTAGTATGCAGTATGTTAGGACTGTATTGCTGCCGTGAATGGAGTTTGACCTAACTCCCGTTGGTCATTCGGTGTAGTCATAAAAGCAGAATAGTAGTAATAATAATAAGAATAAAAATAATGGGTTGTAGTGTAGATAATATAGGTTGAGATAAGTGGAATAATAAAGGTGACCTAAGGAAAAGATAGAGTGAGAGAAGGCAGAATAGGTCGTGGGGATTTAGTTTGTACGCTTATCCATTGACAGTGTGGTTTCAAGTTTTATGAGGATAAGCCATTGAGACACAAACCTTGCATTTCTGCATGATTGTCTAGCTTCCGCTTAAAAATCTCCAGAGAAGGCGCTGTAGTCACGGCCGCCGGTAAAGCGTTCCAGAGACGGCAAACACGAAGCGAAAAGAAATGTGATCGCACTCGAGTCTTTGGTCTCTGGTGTGCTATCCTTAGCGGGTTACCTCGTGGAAGCCTATAATCACTTAATGGCAGGATGCTTTTATTTGGGTGGGCCTGGTCATTTAGGATTTGGTAGACGGTGATGAGGTCTCCCCTGTGCCTTCGGTAACTAAGTGTGAAAAGACCTAATTTCTTTAGTCTTTCCTCATATGATTTGTTGCGGAGGCCGATCACCCATTTTGTCGCTCGTCTCTGGACACTTTCTAGAATGTTAGCATCCCTTTTGAGTAGCGGAGGTGCAATGATATTATGCACCTCAAGGTGTGGCCTCACATATGCCTTATATAACCTTAAGAACAGTTCCGGAGTGAGAGCTCCCAGCTGCCTATGCATAAAGTGTAAGTTGCGTAGGCTTTGGCGACGTCCCTCGAGTAATTTCTACTGGTGTCTAGCTTTTCTGTTAGAATAAGACCTAGGTCTCGCTCTGATTGAACACAACTCAAGTTCTGGCCACCAAGGGTGTAATTTACACTCTGTGACCTGCCCGAATGAAGTTGCACTACTTTGCACTTCTTTAGGTTGAAAGGCATTCCGTTAGCCAGAGCCCAGTTTCCCAGAGTTTGCAGGTCAGCCTGCAATCTGTCTGAGTCTTCCGATGAGTTTATTGCTCTCCAAATCTTTACGTCGTCAGCGTAAAGAAGCGCAGAGCAGTTTAGTTGGGAGGGTAGGTCGTTGATAAAAATCAAAAACATCAACGGCCCTAGGATAGAACCCTGAGGAACCCCTGATGCCGAGGTGTGCCAGGATGATCGGATGCGGTTGACTTTGGTGCAGAATTCTCTCTCGCCTAAGTAATCTTTCAGCCATGCGAGAAGTGCTCCAGAAACACCCGCCTTGCTTATTTTGTGAAGGAGCAGACCATGGTGAACTGTGTCGAATGCTTTCGCAAAGTCGAGAAAGATCACGTGGGCTGGTACCTTTTTGTCCCAGGATAGTGTCCAATCGTTCCAAGCTAGTAGAAGATTCGTCACGCAGGATCTTCCCCTCCTAAAACCGTGCTGTGCTTCGTGAAGAAGGTTAGTCCCATCGAAGTATTTTCTCATGTGGTCGTCAATGATACTTTCCAATATCTTCGATATCACTGGAAGTAGAGCAACTGGTCTGTAACTGGTCGCATTCTGCCGGTTACCACCCTTGAAGATAGGGGATAGGATTGCTCGTTTCCATTCACATGGAAGTTTCCCTACATCAAGGGAGTGTTGGAACAGATCGCTTAGGGGTTGGCAGAGACTTTCTGAACACTGCTTCAGGACAGATGGTCTGATGTCATCACAACCTGAAGACTTTCCCGAAGCCAACCTTCCCAATTTTGCAAGTACCATAGCCGGGGTAATTTGAAATGTACCCAGCAGGTTTTTGCGTGTTGGTTTTGCGATGTAATCTGGATGTTCTGTGGGGTAATATCCTCGTTACTTATTAGTTGCCTGTGAAAGGCTAGGCTGAATGTCTCTGCCATTTCAAGACTAGTAAGAGATTTCCCATCAGAACCCACTAGATTGCATGCTCCCTGGTTGGTCGGTTTTCTTTCGGACATAAACCTGTATAGGCTTTTGGGGTTCACGAGAAGCTTATTGGCGAGGTCTCCCTGAAATGTCCTTCTATCGCTCCGGACTCGTATGTTACATCGATTCCTGAGTTCAAGGTACACTTCATCTTCGGGTTGACTCTTCGATCGTCGCCACGCAAACCAGGCTTTTCGCTTCGCCTGCAGAAGGCGTTGTGTCCCCCTTTTTAGCCATGATCGTTGCTTCCTAGCTTTTGGTGTGACTAAAGGAACAGTGTCTGAGACCGCCTGGTGAATGATCTCCTTTACCACTCTCCAGTGTTCTTCTACTGTTAGCTCTGTCCATTTTTTAGGCCAATTTGCTTCAGACAGAAGTCTTCGCATTTTGGTGTAGTTGGCTTTGTTATAACACAGATAGGGCTGTGTATTGTCCCACTGTAAGCGCTCGCGGAGGACTATGTCGAATACTATGACCGCGTGGTCACTACTACCTATGGGAGTCGTGATCTGAACGTTTTCCACTAGTAGCTGGTCACTAGTGAGCACGTAATCCAGTCTAGAAGACTTCCCATCAGGGCCCCATCTAGTATCCATCTTGACATTTTCAGTGAATCCAGCCTTCCTGATGGTATGCAGCAGATTTCGATCAAATCTATCATGGGCTTTTCCCGACACCAAGTTAAGAGATGGGGCATTGAGGTCACCAGCTATGACAATAATAATAATAATGATTTACTTTATTCCAAAAACAGTACTTGTGATACAGATTGGAATTTTCAGCATTAATCACAATATTGCATCTAATTTCCTCAAATTATAAATAAAATTAATCACACAGAAAATTTTCCACATTTACAATAGAGGTAGTGTCAAAAACATGCAGCATATAAAATGGAAATAGCAATAATAATGATAACAGCTAGGGTAGTAATAATAATAATAATACAAGTGAAAATTGCCGTTGGCTTGTGTCACACAGTATTGGCAATGTGGTATAGAAATCCTAACATGTTTAAAAATATTGAATATAATGTTCTCTTTACATGATATGATGAAGGAAAAAAAATAGATTACAGCCGTCATGGAGATAAGTTGGTGTTTGCAATTATGAGAGTAAAACAGAAAAGTAACAGGACCATAAATATAATAGAAGTAATAAAAGTAAAACTTGAAGGTATGTAAGGATGGATGGAGGAAATTGTTTATTTACTAGATGAAAGAAGGTTAGTTAATTCTTGCCTGACACTATTTTCATCACATAAAATACGTGCCAAGTATGGTATCATAGAATTTTTATACTTAGACGTGCGAGCATACAGTTTTCTGAAGTTACTCCTTGTTCTACCTGAGGAGATGCAAGGTGAAAGCTGAGGGTAAAGCGGATGCTCCAAGTCAGACAAAATCCCTTTAGCAAATTTATTGCACGAAGTCAAATGCCTATCGACAACGACGTTAACTATGTGGTCCACTGGGACACCACTCACTCTACTGACAGTCTTCAGTATTCTACGAATTGTGACATAGTCTTTTTTAAGCAAACCAGGAAAGAATAAGGGTGAGCAATAAAGAAGAATAGGTAGGATGCAAGAGTTTACGAACTGTAGGATGAGGGGTTGAGTTATACCCGAGTGTCTTAACTTCTTAATGTAAAATGTCAAGCGGAATATTTTACTGGAGATTGCTAAGACATGGGAAGACCAGGAGAGATCAGAAGAGAGAATGAGTCCAAGATACTTAATTTCTGATTTGATTCCAATATCATTGTCGTCAATTTTACAAGTGTCATGAGAATCGATGACTTCTTTTAACTGTCGTTTACATCTTAAGCTGAAATCAACAGTTTGACACTTAGAAGGATTCAGTTTTAGACCGTTAGACTCAGACCATTTGCTGACTTCCGATAGAAAGCTATTTATTTTAGTACAATCTAGCTGGGAGTTAACAGCCATTGAAACCGTTAAATCATCAGCATACTTCACAAAGTTTATTTCATCAGAGTGAGGCAAGTCGTGCAAGAAGAAAGAAAAAAGAAAAGGAGAAAGAACAGCACCTTGAGGGACACCAGCTTCAGTAGGCAATGAAGTGGAGGACTTCCCTTTATATACGGTGTACTGCTTTCTATCTGAGAAATAGGAATGCAACCAGTTAACAGCCCAACATTCTGTTTGACTAGCAGCAAGTTTATTTAATAAGATGTCCCTAGGGACCGAGTCGAATGCAGATGTATAGTCTAGGAAGGCGCAACGAACAAATTTAGCCCCCTTGTCTAGACTGGAAGCAATGTTATGATATAAGACGGCAGCTGCATCTAAAGTGCTTCTACTGTGCTTCTAGGCAAATTGTTTAGGGTCATTAAAGGATTTAAGCGAAGGTTCAAGACTAAGTAAAAGTAATTTCTCCATAGTTTTCAAAAAAGGAGACGTAATAGCAATGGGTCTAAATTTGACACATAATAATAATAATAACAGCTTTATTCCAAACAGTATTTGTGGTACAGGTATGGAATTTTCAGCGTGCATTACAGTATATTGCATCTAATTACCTCATAAATTATATAAGATTTTTAAAAATCAAAGATAAATAAATAAAAATAAAATAAATTAGTTATAAATAAATAAAATAAATAAATATTAAAATTTAAGAAAAAAAACAACGTAGAGTATTTCATTTCAAACAATGCAACACAGGATTTGAAATATAAAGTTGATGTGTGGTACTAGATGAGAACAACAGTGTGATAGTAACGAGGAAAGGAAAACAAAAACTAATGGGACTATTTGTTAGTGTGCCGCAGTAAGTTTATCGTGTCATACCTAACGGATTTCTCATCACATAACAGCTGTGCCAGATATGGTATTGTGGAGTTTTTGTATTTGGTAGTCCTAGCATATAGCCTCCTGTAGCTGCTTCTAGTTCTTCCAGATGAAATGCAAGGAGATAGATGCGTATAGAGAGGATGCTTGGGGTCCGACAATATTGTATTCGCTAGTTTCTTACATGACATAATATGTCTATCTACAATAGTGTTCACCAGTTGGTTTAACGATAACCCACTTGCCCTACTAACAGCTTTTAGTGCCCTTCTCAGCGAAGCAAAGTCTTTCTTAAGTAGTCCAGGAAAGACTAATGGGGAGCAGTAAAGGAGGATGGGTAGAATACAAGAATTTACAAACTGAGAAAGTAAAGACTGGTTTATGCCAGACTGCCTAAATTTCCTAATGTAGAACGTTAAGCGAAACATCTTTCTAGTAACTAGCAAGATGTGGGAAGACCAGGAAAGATCGGTGGAAAAACTCAGCCCAAGGTACTTAACATAAGATGTATTTTCAACCTCTATGTC